TTCATTAATAATGAATATCATCAGTACAAAATGCGACTTGTTTATTATTGAATTTAAAATAAAATAAAAAATAAGGGTTCTTAAAGGCCTTCAAGATTTCAAGATCTCCGAATATGAATTGTAAAAAAGATGAATGGAAGAGTATATGTATAAAGGCTAGAAGGAGATTATAGAGATGAATAAAAGCTAAAGAAAGGAAAAAGGGAAGCAAGTGTAAGGATTAGAATGAATAAAAAGCATTAGTTGAAAGTCTAAAGAAGGATCTATTCATCAATCGCATCATTTCACCTTCGATTTATTCTTCAATTAGAAGCTTTATTACTATACTACATATTACAGAAAGTATTAAATGAATAATATAGTCTGATTTTGATACAAATAAATCTTTTTATTTGACAATGATTGCCTTAAATTAAAAGTTAGAATTAGCTTTCGAAATTCAAGAAATTCATTAAGACCCTATTAATTAAAATAAGCTTCGTAAATTATAAAGACTTAGACTAATCATATTAATACTTTAAAAACAATTTATTCAATATATAATTAAAGAATTAAAGAATTTATTACAATAACACAGAGTTTACTTTGTCAAGCACTAACTCTATCATCATAGAGCTAATCAAACAAGAAGAAGGAAATTATACGAATTCATAACCTGATAATTCTTTTTCCCCAACGATCAGCCGCCCAAAGACTCTTGTTTTCGAAATTATAGTTTTCCTTCATCTTAGTGTATACAAAAAAAGTTAACGAATCTCAGTGTAGTTACCGGACCGGGAATCCGGCGTCGACGGCTCTCGCCCCTCATAGCCGACTTTCTGACGATCCCTATTGGACGGACCTCATTGTCACATCAAGTCATATCTCGGATCAAAATAGTTCATCCGGTTTTTGTGGCATTGATTTTATGGTACTGGTGGGAAAAATACTTAATCTTGATTAAAGACACGTATCATTATTCCTAGGCTCATTGTTGAAGACCATCTATAAATCTGAACTTCGACATATCTGTGGATTCATATGCTTTGTGTCCATATTTTGATGCTATAATCTCCAATCTGTTTGCAAAAATGTTTCTTTTTTTACTCCTATATGTAGCAACAGCGGCCGCTCAGCAGGTCGTGTATGGTCAATGCGGAGGTTCGAGCTGGACGGGTGCAACAACTTGTGCTACAGGAAGTACTTGTGTCTACCAGAACGCATACTATAGTAGAGGTTTCCTAGACCACATCGCATCACAGTGTGCTCATTATTTTCTCTAGGTCAATGTCTCCCGGGAGCAGTTGGCAGTAGTTCAAGCTCGAAGACAACGACGAGTGCTCCAATAACCTCGAAAACGTCTACAACATTAACAACAAAAGCGTCTTCAACCTCGACCTCTGCTACGAAAAGTGAGACACTGACATATATATGTTTTTCTAGATACCTAATTCCCACATATGCTTATAACTGAATTCCTCAGGCCCCATATCGACTGCAGCCGTAGAGTACTTCATAACTTTGTACGTAATATTGCAATTATCTATTCATCCGAATTCGAATCCCACTAACTTCAAAGTCAGTGGCGACTCATACTCCCAAACAGGCTTTGATCCGACCCTGGCCCAGCCAGCTGCTGACAATCCCCTTGGGAATCCCAATCTCCAAGGTTACACGACCAGTGGCGGGTTCAATTGGGTATGTAACTTAAAAAGCTTGAAAACCCACATTCGCTGATGCAAAATCTGTAGATCGGGTATCTCGTTGAAACTTATAACAATACGCTCATGTTGTCATACAACTTTGCTTATGGAGGCGCAACTACTAACGCGTCGCTTGTTGCACCATTTGCACCCACCGTACTATCCTTAATTGATCAAGTAGGTCAGTTTGCTAAATATATTCCATCCGGGCCCTGGTCCTCCGGCAATACGCTTTTTGGCATTTGGATAGGTGTTAATGATGTTGGAAACGCGTGGCATCTTTCAAATTATACGACGGTACTCGCTCAGATCATGGAATCCTACTTTACAGAGATTCAGCGACTCTACAATGTGGGAGGCCGAAACTTTCTATTCTTAACCGTTCCGCGTGAGTCCCCTTCTTGATTGGAATTCGAAAGAGAAATTTCAAAGACTGATGATACACAAAGTAACCCAAGATAGCCCTCTTTTCATAGCTGAAGGGACAGCTGTGCAAATTTCTCTGGTGATCGCTATATCTCAATACAATTCGGCTTTGGTTTCACGCGTAGCAGCATTCAAAGCTGCAAATGCTGGATCTAATACTTGGGTGTATGATACTCAGGCTCCTTTCTTGAACGCAATCAACAACCCTACAGCGTATGGCTCAGCCGATGCCACCTGTATAAATGCCGACGGCATTAGTTGTTTATGGTGGAATGATTATCATCCCAGCCAGATTGTTCACAAACTAGTTGCTCAAGGGATTGCCTCACTCTTAAAAGGTATATTCTTGTAGATGCGAAAACTACACGCTGATAAATTTTATTCTGTGTATATTAAATCTAAGAAACCAGTATGACTGTTTCGTTTATATATATATTAACAATATCTTAGAGCACATTACCTCCTCCAATTCTTTTCATTAGTTACCAGGGCTCGTTTGAACATCAATTCCGGTCAGAATCCATCGAATTTTCCGCTTTTTTTTTTTTTTTTTTTTTTTTGCTATAGCGGATTTCACGATAGCATTTTTCTTTTCTTAAAAAACGAATTGCTATGCTTATATTTCTCATTTATATAATGATTTTAGTATAAAATCTGTAGAAATGAAAGAAACTAGAGTATACATATATATGTTTTTTTTAGTATATAGATATTCTAAGCTTATTACTACTATTTGAATAATTAAATAAGCAAATATGAGAATAGTTTCAATTTAACTAGAACGAATATAAGAATAATACTTTATTTAATTAATATCAAAATCTAAATTTTAATCTAAAAATAATTTAAAGTTTCAAACTATATGTTCTATAATTTTAGACTATATTCATGAAAGCTTTAGATTATATTAGTCTAAAATAGCTTATAAATTTATGGATTTTTAATTTAATTGGAAATAATAAACGTTTTTTCTAATCATATTATTTTCCTATATAAATTATTCAAAAAATCAGGGGCCTGTAAGCCCTCGAGTTTCTTACTTATTAAGAAAGTATAATATAATAATTATTATTATAATAAAGATATGAAAAGAAATTTATTAAAAGCTCGCAGGCGATGTCGGTTTACCCCCTCTTTTCATTTTATAATTTTCATAATCTTTATTATTTGTATGCTAACTTTTATCTTTTTTACAATTTTTATTATACATGCCTAGAGATTATATTTTGTTATACATGTCTAGAGATTATATTTTGTTATATTATATAGTAGATTATATTTTAATTCTCAATATTAAACCATTAATTCTACTATTAAATTATACAAGCCTTAATACTAGAACAATTTTATTAACTTTACTTTTATTATATATAAGATATTCCTCACTAGATCGATTATATAAGCTCTATAACTACTAATGAAATAAAAGTTCAATCCTTTATAGAAACTATAATTTTGAAGTTATTATTTTAAACATCATATCATTCAAAAGCTCTTAACTTAATTTATATAATTATTACTTTTATTCTATTTTATAATTCAAATTAGGTTTGATATAATAATTGTGGGTATTTTAATTATTTAAGTTATAATACTATGATACTAAGAATAGTATAAAACATATTTTATTAATTAGATAATCAGAATTATAACTTATTTTGAATGAGTTAACTATTTTGTATGTATATAATACTACGGTCCTCGTGAATAATAAGAAGATAAACCTTAAATAAATTAAAATACTAGGGGCCTGCGAGGGCCCGAACTCCTTACTTTTTGAAAAAGTATAATATAACAATTTTTATTATTATAAAAATTCAAAAAGAAATTTATTAAATGCTTATAGGCGAAGTCGATTTATTCTTGAATCATTTTTATTATTATTTTTTATAATTTTTATAATTTATATAATTTTCATTCTATTTTAGAATTAGAATTCAATCATTTTATTTAAATTACATTTTATTACATAATATTTAAAAATTATATTTTAATTATTTTTATTTAAATCAATAATTATATTATTATATTATAAAAGGTTCAAGTATAATAACAATTTTATTAGAATGAAATCTATTACATTTAATATATTCCTTTCTTTATTAATTATATAAACTTCAAAACTCTTAAAAGAAATCTACTTCAATCTCTTATATAAACTCTAATATTAAAACTAATATTATTAAAATCAAATCAATTAAAGACTCTTAGCTTATTCTATATAATTATCTCTTTTCTTTTTAATTGAAATTGACTTTAATAAAAGAAACTATTATTAGAAAAAATCATTTTAAATTATAATGTTATAATACTATCATGTTAAGAATATTATATGTAGAGGTTTAAATTAACTACGATGCTTAAATCGAGTCTCAGATTAAACAAATCAACTTTTTTGTATATATATATAAAGTACTTCGATTCTCGCGAACAGTAAGATAATTAAGGAGGTAAACCTCTAATAAATCGAATTCAAGGTTTTTAAGGGCTTGTAAAATAATACATTGGTTTTTAAAAAATTACATAAAATCCGTTATTGTATATCTAAATAGAAATACGGAATCCGTTGCCAAATTGAATAGAATATTCGATGAAATCTAATCAGGTTTGTATATTCAAACTAGCTCTAAGAAGTACTCCACCAGATATACTAGCTAGAACGCACATTGCAAAAAAGAAAAATGCCCAACCGTATCCTGTAGCATTAATAAAAGGCTGTACACTGTATGAAATTGCAAAATTGACCATGGAGCTGCACATTGCCAATATAACTACTAGCTCACCGGCAAGACCGGGGAAACAATCCATTGCATATGCGGTGGCGATTGTGCAGGCGCTTACTTGCTGGGCAATTGGAGCTCCTAAGCCAATCGAAACTGCGACCCAGCTTGCCTATGTCTGAGCAACCCAGCCATAGAGCAAATATCCAACAGCAGCATACACGAAACTTGCGGTAAGGGTCCAGAGACGCATTTCAGGCTCTTTGACTCCTTTGTTGCGGCGGGCAAGGAAAATAACAATATGATCAGATAACACTCCAGTGAGTAAACCGATGGTAGATTTGATGAGAGTTGCGAAACAAAGAAGGACATCGGTCGTTGATGAGAAGTCATGTGGATCAGAGGAAAAGATCTCTGATACAGTATTGAAGGATACTATCCAGGCTGTGCATCCAAAAGCGAAGATGAACCCCGGAATGACAGCTGTAGGAAACGACCACAGGGAGAAGGGACGTTTGAAGTAGTTCCAGTATGTTGTCGTATCATCTGACTGGTATAACTATAGCGTGAGGGTCTGGAGGTGGGTTCGTCTCGGAAACAACGAAGACGGCAATTCTGCCGAAGTGGAACTATGCGATAGCCTCGTATTTGACATCTCCAGATACTTCTCACTCGTGCCAGAAGTTGTTGGTGCAACAGTTCGATCTTGATCTATACCTGTGGAGGAGAAGAGAAAGCGTGGAAATGTCGTATCTTTAAAGGGAAAAAAAGGAGCAAAAATACGACGCCATAAATTATGCCCACAATGTACTGACTCCATCTCCATCCAGGGCCATCGGCGATGGAACCTCCAGAGATGAGACCGAGGGCATGGAATGGTGAGCTTCGATTCTCGACATTTTTTTGATATCAACAAAGCATACATGGACCCAAGTTGTTGCGCGAACAAATAAACTGCAAGCATTCTGCCACGTTCATGAACATTAAACATGTTAAATATGGCCAATTGAATTACAGCCTGATATGCTGATGTACCCAAGCCATTCAATATCATGGCACCCATCCACTCTCCAGTACCTTAGAATTTGCCTAGCCAAATGCCGGCACACATGTAAATTAAGGTCGCAGTCAGAAACACAAATCTGTTACCAAGTCTTTTAGCTGCAGGTATCCAGAATATGTTACAGAAGCCCTATGAATTGTTTTAGAAAGAGAGCCAAATGATATTTTTAATTTCATAACCAACCAGTAGTAAGTAGTTGAGAGTTGAACCGCCATTCATGTTAGTAAGGCTCACATTTGTATCCTTGGATATGGTCTCCCAAGCAGCTGGCGTTTCACGTCAGTGAATATAGACGCAATGATAAACACTTTCTTTATGTACCTCCAAGGGTATTTTCTCCGAAACTGAATGCACAAGCATAGAGTCTGACCATAAATCAGTTGAACATACTTCAACCCATGAATCTCTACGCAAGTAAGAAACTTTCGCAACAAGGAACAATTGGTAGTATTTCTTCAATCGTGGCCAAAGCTTGGTCAGTGTTAGCAAAACAATGATAGTCCCAATTCAACAAAAATTCATACCAGGGGATCTCCACCACAGGTCGTGGGCCGAGGAATCAAAATAATATTTGACGAAACCCCTTCCGAGTGGGAATGATCCACTGAGTGATCGACTATATATTCAGTGAGCCATTGGAAAGGTAGTGAGGGGGTGAGGTGACTACCGTTGATGAAATATTCGGTACCTGGAACATCTTCGATTGTAACTTGAGACACGTTGGGTGTAGAACTGTTTACAGAGTACATTGTTGACAAAGGAGGGCATCTTCATATATGTATCTGTCGTCCGCCACTTGCCGATTTTCGAATCAGGCATATCTCACATATCTCAATATTCGATCACCGAATACCAATTGAATGGCTGATCATTTAGCTTGGCTACATCATGAAGGTCTAGGCGAGAAGCGAGCTCTACTCCGCATCTGACCTTGATGTAAAAAGTGGGGGCTTGCTTCAGACTTCCATTAGCCATCCAAGGTTGGGTTGGCTTAGATCCGCTCCAACGTTGGCCCCAATTGATAAGACTGTATGGTTGATTCGACTTTCTGGGACCATGATAAGAGAATTGTTCGACTCGAGTCTGGGAATAGGAATACAGGAACAGCTACCGCATTGAATACCTTTTTTTGTGCATAAAATACACTCCCTTTACTCATTGTTATCTGAGTCTCTTCAGAAAATAGTCGGCCAGAAATAGCTAGACTATTTAAGTTTGTATTGTTCATTTCAAGCGCGGAGATCATTGGGTATTTGCACTTCGAATCGAAGTAATTATCGACGAGTGGTCCCAATACCTTTTCAGATATGCTAGTCACAATTACTCTGTATCCTTGTGTCTCCAGCTCGAAGTCACTGCGTGTCTTACCCCTCCGGGTTGAGTTGGTCGGGAAGAGACTTTAAAACAAATCTCTCAACGAATGGACTTGACTAAGTATAGTGTCTTCCATTACCCAAGACTCAAATTTATACTAACAGGCTCAACATACTTCTCCCAGTCGCTTGTAATGCCTTGTATAGTGTTTGCTAATAGAGACAAATCTCTGCGTTGCCAAACATCAACAATGACTGATATAGTACTCTCGAGGTTCGCAATGGTACAAGTTGACATTACTGCCAATGGACTGAGAATGAATGCTCTCCCAGACACAGATCTATTGTTAAGCATGACTATGTCATCTAGTGGGTTGAGTTCCACTGCTGCAACGAAGACAGGCCATGTCAAACTTGTTACAAGGCCACTGTCTAGGCACAGGGAAATGCTATGAAGAATTTCAGGGATTTCGCCTGATAACCGAATCTGTGCCAGGCGATGCGTTGTACAAAGTGTAGTGAGGATATAAGATAGCCGCCTGTCGCTTCAATTCTGTCGAGTGTAAAATTACAAAATCGTCATCCTGATGTACGGTCTGCACGAGACCATTAAGTCGTTGTTCCAGACCAGCAGCTTTGTTGATAAATAGCTTCTCTGAAGCACACATAGAATCTTTACGTTTCAGTTAGATCAGATCTGTGATTGACCCTAATATATGGAAGAGTTCTGGGGAACAGCCCATCGATATATCGATTTCATGAGCTTTAGATTTCCAAGCGCAACTCTTGAGATTTGGTACACCGGCACATGCTGTTCGTTCCAGCACATCCTGGTATGCGAAGAAGCGTTCTGAAAACGAAAGGAGGAGTTGCCACTGGCTTTTTTCAGTGGCAAGAAATGGGAATTGTTTTCGGATCCGGATAATATCGCGCGCGCCTCGAAGGTAAACTACACACTGTTCATCGCATCTATTGATGATTTCATACAAGCACATGATCATACTTACGGTGATGATTTCGGGGTCTCTTGATATCTCTACGGAGTCTCCTTGATCGAGTCTCCCTCGCAAGAATTGAAGAGTCCGCGCCTTAAGCTGCATGGCAACCGGTCCCCAGGAAGCATCTGTTTTACTCTTATGACACGCCGAAAGTGCCAAAAGAGATTGTAGGGTAGATTGCGATGTACTCAATGCAATAGGGAGAACTATTGTTGCGAATGGTGAGTTTGTAGATTGATTGGGAGTTGTTAGCAGACATAGACGGTCTACATAATATTGAAGCAGAAGAGTTGTATTTATGTCATCCACATGAGGTAACGATGAGATGATAGGAGATGCAACAAGCTATCTAGGAGGTACTGCTGTGCAGGCTGGAACATATTTCAATCTAGGAGAAGTAAGAGTGGTGACTTCGACGGCAGTATCCATTAGTTCACGTTCAACACCGGCTTGGTCGTCTTTATCACATGACAGCATCTCGTGAAAGTTCTTGACGGTCCCGTTTACAAGATGATGATGTGATATGTGCGGGATATAGCACTGTGTAACCAATCCCGACGAGAGATCGTAAGAAGGAGATCGATGAACGTCCGAAGTCGATCCTCGGCGGTCAATTTTCTTCCACACGCCGGATCGACCAAAGGCTGCACGCACCTCTTATGGCAAATTCCTCCTGCCATCTCAAGACAAGGTTGTATTTGCAGTCATATGCAGTACTAGCGCATCGTTGACATTTGGGCCTTTCTTCTCCGCATTCAACTTTCCTTCTTCGGCAAGCGTAGCATCCACCTACGCTTCTGGTACGAGAGACCTTACATTTGCCCGTGTCAGGAGATTTACGTCGTGGCATGATTTCCAGGTCGAAATTGTGATAGTGAGATAGCGGCTGATAAGTTTCGCCGAGCATTGGTGTAAGGTTGCAAACAATTCGTCCTTGTACCAACGTAGATGTAGAAAGTTGTTGAACCTCTGGCGGTGGTCATCGAGCGGAGACAGGACGATTACACGTACAGTGGATTTTGATCAAAGCCAAATTATCAATTGATTAAACCATTAAGAGAACGGTAGACACACCGGTACAGATACCGTTACTCAGATTATTTGTAAGATTATGTTTGGAGTGGGCGAGGTGGAGTGGGGTACATACAGTACAGATAGATAGATCGAAAGTGGGTGGGAAGGTCCAAGCGAAGCGACATGCAGTTGTATCTATTCAATACATTTTCATGAGTGTATGAATGTAGATATATTTAATGGTATACCCAAACTCCCAATCGAAGAAAATGTAAACTGGTGAAATTTCCCAATCCTAATCATGCCGACCGAACTTACCAAATCATCTCGAATCCTCATTGTGGGAGGTGGGACTTGGGCTGTATCTACAGCTCTCCACTTAGCTCGTCGAGGTTATGTAGATGTTACAATACTCGATGCATATCCAATACCATCCCCAATATCCGCTGGGAATGATGTCAATAAGATTGTAGAACAAGGTGACTACCGCAATGGGATTTTATGAATGCATAGGAAATTCACTGACATACATAGGCTCTTTCACAGAGGGCGAAGATGATGTTTCTATGATTTTACTTAACAGAGCGACGGAAGGCTGGTTGAATGATTCAGTATTCAAACCTTACTACCATCCTACTGGGTATATCGTAGCTGCAGACACGCCAGCTGCATTGGAGCAGGTTGAAATGCGAGAGCCGCCCCATTCAAAGTCTGAATTCGTAAGACTAGAGACAGCAGAAGACTTTAGAAAGACGATGCCTGCCGGGGTGTTGACAGGCGACTTTCCCGGCTGGAAAGGTGTGTTTAAGTCTTCAGGCGCCGGCTGGGTACATGCTCGTAAAGCACTGCACAGTGCAGCGAAAGAGGCTGATAGGCTTGGGGTGAAGTTCATTACCGGTTCACCTGAAGGTGCCGTCACCAGTCTCGTTTATGAAGACGGAGACGTACTAGGTGTTAAGACTGCTGATGGAAAGGAACTTCGGTGCGATAGGACAATACTTGCTGCTGGAGCTGGAGCCAATGTGCTTTTCGACTTCAAAGATCAGCTTCGGCCGACAGCCTGGACTCTAGGACATATCAAGATGTCGGAGGATGAGACAAAATTATACAAGAACCTGCCAGTCCTCTTCAATATAGAAAAGGGATTTTTCATGGAACCAGACGAGGACAATCACGAGCTCAAGATATGTGATGAGCATCCTGGCTATTGCAACTGGGTAAGTCCATTTATTGACTACTCTTGCTAAGGGAGAAAAGATCAGACCACAAGAAAAGGAAGCTTAGAAGGGTTTTTGATTTTTCCACTTCCATATGAGCGTTGAACAAATTGAATCCTCAGATTTGAATTGGTGTTCTGAAGAGTGTTGCACATTGGAGATATGCAACCTTGGCTTTCGAGCTTTTATCCTGATCCTGAAACGGCTTCAGCTAAAAGCAACACATCCAAATTCAACATTGTAGTAAGGGCTGACGAATTATGTTTAGATCACAGGGCCAGATGGCAAAACCAGGAGCATTCCATTCTCAAAACAACAGATCCCTATAGATTCGTCAAAGAGGATTCGGCAATTTCTTCTAGAAACCATGCCCCATCTCGCAGATCGTCCGTTATCCTTTGCTCGAATATGTTGGTGCGCTGACACCCCTGACCGGGCATTTCTTATCGATATTCCTCCGGAATACCCTTCGCTAACCCTGGCGGTTGGCGGAAGCGGGCACGGCTTTATGCACATTACTTCAGTTGGAGGATTTGTTGCCGATTTGATGGAAGGAGTACTAAATCCGAAGCTGAAGAACGCCTTCCGATGGCGACCTGAAACGGCAGTGAATAGGAATTGGAAGGATTTACAAGGAAGATTCGGGGGACCAAATGAAATCATGGACTTCCAGAACGTCAGAGAATGGACGGACCTCCCTACTAGATAGACTGCATACCGTGGCACATGATACATGCAAAACCTTTGGAAATCTTATGGAACCCGCTAGAGCATTATTGTGTGGTTCTTACGAAAAATTTATACACTATGAACAACTTTTCCCCTAAATTCTGGGTTTATATAAATCATTTGCTTCATTAACATCAATGGATAGGTGTACAGAATTATACATTACAATTTGAGCATTTAGGATCTTAAGGATCTTGTGTCATAATGATACCAATGAATACATTTCTCGCTGGACTTTCGACACTGGAAAATGACTCAATTATGACACATTTGATATGTCCATCTCACTTATGGGCACGCTCTATGTACCTATGTATGGTGTAATTATCCTCAAGCACCCCAACAAATCTTTTCTTAGTCGATTGTGTTAATCTTCTTCATAGATCTCCTGTTGCATCTGCCGTTCCCATATTCGATTCGCAGACTCAACAATCCTTGTCGCCTTCGCAAGGAGTTTAGCATGGTACCTTTCCTCGTCATCGGACGCCAGCCGTAACTTTTTTGGCTGGGCCATTAGGAGTACTGGTATTAGTTCCTTCGAGTCTGCACCTGCAACCGCCCCAACTGTTTTATAGCCGTTGTCCCAGAAGATCCTTGCTGTTCGACTTTTGATGAATGTGATTTCCGCTAGAGCGAGTAGGTCGGACTTAGCGCCTATTGCTTGTTAGATAATCGGGTAGGAACATTCGGAAAGCCAGAAAATTTCGATCTAAATTGTCTACACAGTTATTGTGACAAAATGAAGGACGTACCAGCTTTTAGACGATCGGAGAAGTGATCAAGCACCGTAGCCAGTGCTCCCCAATCCATCTTCTCACAAAACTTTATCATCCCTGCAGCAAAGCCATGACACGTTTGCGCCAAATTCTGTATGATTCCTCGTGGTAAGTCGTATTTGCGAGCAACGGCATGAACTGGCATTTCGTTACAAAGATCTCGTAGTTGTAGAGCGGTATAAAATCTCTTGTATACCCTGGCGATCTCAATTTCTTCCGGCGTGGACTCTTTCATCGATCCCCCTTGTGCCCTAAGAGAAAATCAGAAGTTGAGCAAGAGACAAACTTATAGCAGTGAATGAACTTACATTTTATTGATCAATGATGGCTTAAGTCCAACGAAACCAAGAACCCTTAAGTTACTTTCATCAAGCATATCAACTTCCTTACGGAAGATTTGCCAGTTGATACTGCCCTGCGTAGTCTGAACGGGAGTGAAGGTGTAGAGCACATGCATTTCGCCATCTAGTACAAAGGCTTCAAGAGATCTTCGTAATTCTTTATGGACGAACAAGCCATCCTCGGGAGCGAGAGAAGAAGCCACAACAGCTTGACCCAAACGTGTAGCCTCGTATGAAAAGGATTCTGTCTGTTCTACGAGTCTACTCTCGAGTAAATGTTTAAGAGTTATTTCAACCATTGATTTTAACTCTTCTTGATCAATTGTATGGCAAAGAAGGGTTTTTTTCACGTAGTCGTCGATCGATTCGCTGCTTGTAGCTAACTTTGTAGTTATTACTTCAAGTAAGGCCCTGTCTACCTATTAATACCAATACCCAATGAGAGTTTACAAGAGGGTTTTTACCGTTTTATACCTCGTTTGCCTGGCACCAGGCAGCTCTCCACTGAAGGTATTTCGGCTTCCATGAGCTCCGCGACGGCCTCGAGGTCAGACTTTTGACAACATAGATATGTTTCGCCAATTTCATCTTTCCCTTTGCGTCCAGCTCTACCTCTCATCTGTCGACTACAATGATTAGCATTTGTACTTAGTTGTGATAAGTAAGGTACTCACAGCATTGAAGGACCGACCAGATCAGATCCCATTCTGGCGCCATGTAATATAACCCGCCCTATTGAATTGTCAGAGTCCGTAGGACGTTCGGATCAACGAATGCTGATTGTATCGAGATTATCAGAAGCTTCTCGGAACAGAAAGATAACTTACGGGCGGGAAGATTGATGCCGGCCGCAAGACTGCAGGTCGCTACCATGACTTTCAATACGCCTTCATCGTAGGCAGCTGCGACCAAGTCACGTTCCTCTGTAGTCAGACCAGCATCTGGGTGGGCGTCAGAGAGTTCTAGAGACTAGAGGATGGGAATACATACGGTGAAAGGCCACACCCATTAAGACTGTCTTTTCAAGCACCTGATCAAGACCGCTACTTGTGTCTCTTAAGTCATTTAAAAGATCGCGTCGTCTGTTCATCAAGAGCGGGTCAATAGCGTCCATCGAAGGGAGCACTTGGCTTATCAGAAGTGCATCCCTTTCACAACCCAGGCGACCTGTTATTCGGTAGACTTAGTATTACGATACGACAGAGCAGACAAATGGACCAACTTACTGCTGCAAAATACTAACACGCCGTAGCCACTTCTCGCGGTTTCATTGGCTAAAGCAACGACGGAATTTATCAAGGAATTGCTAAGCTCTTTATGCTGTGAGGTCTGTATTCGTCTATGAGGATCCGGAAGTGCCTGCGTCGAGTTGCCTGAGTTCTGAGAATTCAGTTGCGAAGCTGTATTGTAGAACCTGTTCGAACTGGAAGCCAGATATACAGCATTTTCAAAGACAAGGTGCTCTTCTACAGGAACAGCCCTGTAGTTGGAAATGTAAAACTTGGCATTATTGAGCCATTTAGCGAGCAAGTCTGCATTCTGTGTTTGGTCAGACAGCTCTTCTCATGAGACAACCACAAACACAGAGGAAGAGTTAGACTTACGTCGAGTGTCGCGCTCATACCGATAATCTGTACGCCTTGTTCTAGGCTAAGGAGTTTTGTAGCCATTAACTCCAGTATATACCCACGGCTCTCATCATTTATGAAATGTATCTCGTCCATGACTACAACACCAAGATTTCCGATGGAGCAGTCATCAATGGCCGCGTTGACAAGCGAGTTCGCCTATAGTTATTAGTCAATGACTGTGAGTGCGAAAGTATTTGTATCGACGCACCTTCTCAATGGTGCACACAGCAATGTCCATATCAGCCCATGTTGCGTTTGACTTACTGCCACCATAGAAACCTGTAACCCTGATGGAATCTTCATCCCCTCGGTTTCGCCACATGGATGGCCATTTTGATTCCCGCACAGAGGGCTCTTTGCAAATCCCCTGAACAATCTTTCGGAGCCATCGAAGTTTCTCTTGAACCAATGCAACGTAAGGCAATACCAATAGAGCTTTCTTCTCCGGGTTTTGTATAATTTTCTTGAGCATGAGGACATCTGCAACAAGTGACTTTCCGCCCCCCGTAGGAGCAGTATAGACCAAGTTGCGTTGTCCAGCAAGGGCACCACTACGAAGGAGACATTCGGATTGCCATGGGTATATAGATTTGATTCCCAGGGCAGCAAAGTTTTCGACTAGTTGATTTGGTAATCGATATGCAGGGTGTGATAGATCAAGCAAGGGATTCAGTGTAGGGGTTGGCGTTAAAGCCAGTTGCCTTCTTTGTGAATACTCGGAATAAGTCTGGACAGTAACATTATCAATTTTACTTGCAGTTAAAGCACCCGGATGTGCATTTATGAGATTTGGGCGCTTAAAATCTCTCTGCCTAGTGAGGTCAGTTTCGATATGGGGATGATTAGCGGGAGATGGTGTCTCCCGTGATTCATTGGAATCATTCAAGGTATCAAATGTTCTTTTCACAGCCACGCGGGAAATTGTTGTAGACGCAACTCTTGTTGCATCTATGGTAGTTTTGTGATACAGATCAGACCGTGTTGCATTGGACTTCTTCATTTCCAAGTTGGATTGAGGTTAAGTGGATTGAAGACGCTCTGCAAAGCAATATGAAGAAAGCGATAAGCCATTTAAGACGCAAAGCAAAAGGAAAGATAGAAAGCGATCCTTAAAATGATAGAGGTGGACAGGTAGTTAGAGAAAAGTACAAAAGGGGAACTTTTGACGCCAGGTTGTACTGTAGCAAAATACTGGAAGTCTGTACCTAGTTCTAGCTTCCGAAGAACTTTCTGTGACTCTACTTGGGAAGGGCCAAATTGACTGTGAATCGGTATGAAGCAATGTGCCTAGGTAATTGGCAGAATAAGTTATTTGTAAGCAAGCAAAAGAACGAGTTAGTGAATAATGAGATAGACAATCTTTGTGAGATTTGACTTCTTCCAACCTTTGATCTACTATACCGAGTCTGTGGGAGAGATTCTTTTGTTTTGTTCTTGTTTCTGGTTTTGACCGGCAATAACCATGAAGGGCTGACGATGAGATGGAAGCCTCAATGGATGGAGGGAGGGGAGGTTGAATGGTGGGGAGAGTATGAAAAAAGGTACACGTGATTGATATAAGCCAGCCATCGGTGTGCCGGAGCTTCCAAGACTGAGCTAGCAAGGATATCTCTCACTACCCCCGCTTGTTAAGTGGAGACTTCAAGCATTTTGGAAGTTCGAGATCAAAAAAAGTTCGATTGATGGATGGATCTGTCTAGTGGGTGTTACTCTGTACATTGTTCTGCTTCATGGTTCTGTAACACCAAATCTAACCTACTTCGTAGTACGTACAGCTATGACTCGAGCCATCTACTAATGGTTGGTATTGGGGCAATTGAACTGGCGTAGCACATGTAAGCAATCGTATGCAGTCCGTATTGGGTATCTAAGGTATCGAGTGAGTGATGTTGTGTGATTTGGATTGTATAAAAGTCATCAATTATTTTTTATTTTCTCTTCTGTGCTACTAGGTACTTATCGACATACGTACCTACCTGTATATATATATTATATCAATATCGATTATACTTTCCACCCTTTGTGTGGAAGGATATAAAATGTGTTGTGTGCATGTGTGCGTGGGTGTGTATATTATATATATGCATGTTAGGTGCGTATCTACCAGGTATCTGTTTTGGATATACCTATCTAGGACGTCAAAGAGAACGGAGACAATAAAAATGATATATATCAGTATCTCGGTAACTAGGTAATTTCAAATGTGTGCACATTGTTAAATCATATCAATATATTCCTACCAACCTATTTGCCCCATCTTCCCTACCTATACATACGATTCTGATTGTCGGATTTGTGAAGCAACTCTGTTTGCCTACCTCTCTACTTACCTACTACCTACCTACCTACCTACCTACCTACCGTCCGTCACAAATATATCGGACCATGCCAGGAATGGAATTCTTCAAGTCGCCTCCCGCCTCTTTCTCCCATACATACCCAGCGGAAAAGGGAAGAAAGGCTGTGAATTCTATGCAGGCACCAATTAGCGCCGCACCATATCGTTTTGTTTCGCCAACAAAAAACTCCCATTCCCATTCCCATTCTCATTCCCATCTTTTCTTACCTACCTACATACATACATACATACATACATACACATACAGACTACTTACTAGCATCGCTTCATGCCATGCTTCCTTCATGCCTCACGCCTGTCTTCATCAACCACCAGTGTTCATCATCACCGTTCCTATTCCCATCCCTATTGATTACATCTATTCTTTTATCATTGCTTCAGTCGATGTCCTTGGAGAGTACCTGCTACCACTGGATCGCTTCTCCTTGAACATTGAAATACGGAAAACGAGTTTATGGACTAGGACCGGACTGGAATAGACTGAACTACCTACCTACCTACCTACCTAGTAGTCATATCTATCTGATCTGTTTCTGTATCCTCTTCCAAAAGCTTACCCTTATCCGTGCAACCCACCCCATCTATTCTTACCGACTTAAATATCTTCCTAGTACCTACCTAATATCTCTCTTTGCAAATATACGGCAAGGTATAGAACCACCTTTTACAACCATCACATTGCTCCTACCACTCAACTCTCCTCGACCCATTTCACATTTACTTTCACCCAAACCTCAAATTTCTACCAAATCATTCATCCAAAACTTTATAATTCCTTTGGGGCCACGCTTTAGGAACCTTTAATTCACTTCAACACCATCATATTACTTCTTGCGACTGTGAAGAGTAATATATTACCCAGTTTAGATCATTTGTTCAGGGTTGGTGCATCTCCAGTTAATATATATGTTCTTGAGAGCTCACAAATAGCCTCGTCTTTAGTTCTACTCATTGTCATCCTGTGGTCCTTCCGCATCCACACTTTCTACGATATCAAAAAATCCACCCCCGGCTATATTGTTCTCAATCTTCTAAATCGATTCATATCTAAGAAATTTCATAACCTCGAACCTCTCTGATGAGTCGAGACCTCGCAACAATCGCCCGACAGCCTCGTATATAGCGCTTCTCGCACCTCGTTCTCGCGGGAAGCGCTCCAATTCATAGTCTGAGATTCGATTGTCCAAGCCACGGATTTGTTCGCGACGCAATCGCCATGACCAAAGAAATTAATGCTGGCACCAGCGTCGAAGGCTCATCCAAAACCCTCCCCCCACAAGAGAGCAATGCGGTTGAGAATGTATCCGCTGCCCACGACTCGCTGGCTGTAAGTGCGATGGAAATTGTGCCTGAAAGTAAGGCTTCGACCTCTGCGCCTGGGAAAGGATTAGAGAAGGAATTATTGGCTCTTCGCGATTTTGAATCTCAGCCTATGACCGCGACCAATTCAACGTCCTCCAATCGATCGAATAAGGATGCTGGAGCCAACGGTATCGGAGGTGCAGCTTACGGCACTCGATCGCGCAATCGAACCGGTACATCAAGAATCAATTATGCAGAGGACAAGGAGATGGACGTGGATATTGAAATTGCAGCGGCTATGAAAGAGGGGCGCAAGGCCGCTCGGGTCAACGACTCTCGCCCTTCAACGTCTGCGGACAATGCGCCACCGACAACTACTGCAAAGAAGGCAACCGTTTCAGAACCGGAGCCTGTCGCAACGACACAAAATAACAATAAGGAACCTATCCCTGGGACCTCTACGTTCTCTGCAAATCCATCGGTCCCAACGACTCAGAATTCCAAGAAAAAGAAACCTCCCGCTCAAACCGCCGCAACTGCAACTGCATCTGCATCTTCGACACAAAATGTCGTACAAAATGGTTCGTCAGTACATACAAGTGCCCCCAGGGTCAGCATGGCTATGCATGATTCTAATATGTTGAGCTTCGATGACTGTGGGGCACGTTTGAAGGATGAGAAACTTGTAGCGGATGATGGCACTGTTCTATCAGCCAATGGTACGCATACTGAGGCCATGGATCTACCAGCCTTTTTTTCAATCCTGTTCATATACTAACGCATTGTCAGATCACGTGTATCTTGTTTGTGAACCTCCCGGTGAACCGTACTATCTTGGCCGAATCATGGAATTCTTACATATCAATAATGACGTCAAGGAGCCCATTGATGCACTACGACTCAACTGGTATTACCGACCCAAAGAAATTGGAAAGAAGGTTAGTGATACGCGTCAAGTGTTCGCTTCCATGCACTCCGATATCAGTCCTCTCACAGCTTTACGTGGAAAATGTCAGATCAAGCACAAGGCCGAAGTCGAGAAGCTCGATGTCTTGAGAACGACGAAGGACAGCTTCTGGTACGATAAACTGTACGATCGTTACATTCATCGATATTACGATGTTATACCCGTTTTCCAGGTCATAAATGTACCTGTTTCAGTTAAGAAAGTCCTCGATGAAAGGTGGAAATATATTATTGTGGAGGTGGGGCGTGGCAAGGAATTTACCAGCGCCGTGAAAACCTGTAAACGTTGCTGCAGATACAGTGCAAGGTGTGTATTTCTGCATTCTCAAGTATCGAGCTTAGCTAACATCCTCATAGCAACGATTCTGTTGACTGTGCGGTTTGTTTGAACACCTACCACATGAGCTGCGTGAACCCGCCATTGTTGAAGAAACCTTCGCGCGGCTTTGCTTGGGCTTGTGGACCCTGCAGCAAGGCCCAAGAAAAGAAACTCGAGGCTCGTAACACCCCCAATATTACAGATGGAATTGTTGAAGTTGAAGACGATGAAATGAACGAAGATGAAGATGATCTGCCCACAGCAGTGAGTGATACACTTGATTCGAACAGGAACACCTCGTCAGGCTCCCAGGATGTCGAAATGTCTATTCACCCAGGTACAGCGGAACAGGTTCATCAAGCAAGCCTATGGCTCTTTCGGTACTTGGGTATACACTGCAAAGTTGAAGATGCACTGGATTATGACGATCGTATCTATCCAAGGGCCAGTTCTCGGATTGGAAATCGTCATCAAGCCAATGTTACACCTTGGCATGGTAGACCTGTGGAGTATGTCAAGGCTGTAGAAATAAAGAAGAAATACATCAAGGGAGGAAGCAGTAGCCACAGAAAGGATGCAAAGTTATCGAAAGAAACTATAGCCGCATTAGAAGCCGACAAAATCGCTCGAGAAAAACGTCCGATTTGGGTAATGGATGAGCCGAATGGCTATATCAATCGGGGTGAGGATGCAAGTAATGATGATCCCAAAAACACGGCCGCGTTGCAATTTAAAATTCCAGAAGTTGGCGAAGCTTCTAGCGATTCTGAAAGGGGAACGGACGACCAAGCGTCATCCTTGGATGTTCCTGCGTATGAGAAATTGGTCAATGATTACATGATTCGTGCAAAAACGATGGCGAAGCCGTTAGGCCTGCCTGAATTTTCAACTAATCTGCTCGATGTAGCCCTACAATTACTCTATTCAAACAAATTTGATGTAGACAAAGCCCTTGATGCACTTTCAAAAACCGACAAGAAGACATTCAAGGAGCCAGAACTAAGTCCCACTGAGCTTAAGAAATTCGAGGACGGTGTTACCAAATTTGGGTCTGAGTGGCTTAGCATTAAAAGGCATGTGAAGACAATGAGCCCTGCTGATGTGGTACGATTTTATTATACATGGAAAAAGACGGATAGGGGAAAGCAGATATGGGGTAATTATTCCGGGCGGAAAGGCAAGAAGGAGGCCAAAAGGGCAGAGGCGGCCTTGGGAAAGTTACAGGATGACATTGCCGACGAACAAGACGATTCAGCTTTTGATAACGACAAAGTTTTACAGAAGAAGAAGGGATTCCAGTGCAAATTTTGTTCCGTAAGAAGCTCGCAGAGATGGAGACGAGCTCCCAACACCCCTGTGGGTGCTACTGTCCCTGAAAATTCCAATAGCAAAGGAGCTGCAAAGGAGAAAGGCAACCAACTTGTGTTGGCATTATGTCAGAGATGTGCAGAACTTTGGCGTCGTTATGCGATACAGTACGAAGATGTCGATGAAGTAGCCAAAAAGATGGCGGCCTCAGGAGGACGAGCTTCTAAACGGAAAATGGATGAAGAATATCTCAGAGAACTCAAAGCTGCAAATGAAGGGTTTGGCCAAACGGATGCTCTCCCCACTACCGCACCTGTCTCGACTGCTAGCACACCTGCACCTGCACCTCTAGTGCCAGCAGCATCAGAACCGCCTAAGAAGAAAGTCAAAACCAATCCAGATACCAAAGAGGCTTCAGATTCTACGCTTGAGAACGGTAATATAGTAGCACCTGCACAACCAAAGAAGAAGCCAATAGTAGAGAAACCTCCTCCTCCTCCGCCTCCGCCTCCAGAAGTTCCCAAGCCGAAACTTCTTCCATGTGCTGTTTGCGCCCAGTTGGAACCATTGGGAGATCAGCACCTTTCCTGCAAGGATTGCAGAATGGCTGTTCATCGAAATTGCTATGGCGTTGTCGATAACCGAAGCCCAAGCAAATGGACCTGTGACATGTGTCAGAACGATAAAGATCCCAAGGTATCAATTGTAAGTTCATTCGAGTTCTTGATTGTATTTGTTCTGTCACTCACGATTTTAGCAATACAAATGCATGCTTTGTCCGATAGAGTCTACAGAGCATGATTTCGTGGAACCACCCAGGATCTCTCACAAGAAGAAATCTGAAAAGGAGCGGGAGCGAGATCGAGTGGAGAGAGAAAATGCGCAGAAAGCTGCAGACTACTTTCGAAAGAAGCAGGAAGAATACAACAAGCCTGTCAATCCTCGCGAGCCATTGAAGCGCACAGCTAATAACAATTGGGTACACGTCACCTGTGCTGTATTTACACCCGAAGTGAAATTCGGAGACGCGAAAGCTCTAGTTCCATCTGAAGGGATTCCATCGATCCCATCGAGTAGGTATGATGAGGTTTGCAAAGCATGTAAGAAGAAAGGCGGTGCCTGTGTAAATTGCCATTCATGTCGAGCACCAGGTAAGATTCTAATTAAATACCCGAGTTGTCATGTTACTAATTAACATTGCAGTGCACGTGGAATGTGCGCACCAGAATGGGTACATTTTAGGTTTCGATATCGCTCCGGTAAAGGGTTCTCGCCGCGACCAGCACAATATTGTGAACATCAATGGTGAAAATGGCGCCATGTCTGCCGCTATCTGGTGCAAAGAACATGTACCAACCAAGACCATTGTCCATCGCATGCACGACATCGTTGACGAAACGGGCCTTAATGCTTTACAACTCTATGTACAAAATTTCAAGCAGGCAGACTTGGCACTGACTGGCACAGTTCGTAAAGCGAACCTCGTTAATCAATCTACCAGAGCCGCCAGTTCTGTCAATATACCAGCATCCCAACTTCGTAGGACATCTACGGGGGCTCCTATATCGACTCCTACAACAAATAGACGTGCTTCTTTAGCATTGGTCAAAGTTGAGGATTCACCACTCTGCACTTCAGTTTCGGTGCGTGATACAGAAAGAACATGTGCCACTTGTAGTGTTGACATCAGCCCTAAATGGTGGCCGATGATTGAAACTACCGTTGCAACTAGTAGTCCTGCAGCTCCCTTAAATGCCATACTGGATCACGATCCCACCAAATCGGACAGCCCTGGACTCGCCAATGGCCATTTATCTAGTGCCCCAACTGGTGAAAGAAGTGGAGTTCATGTTGCACTCGCAGCCGCAGCTTTGGATCAAAATACCAAAAAGCCGGCCCCCTTACCTACGGAGTTTCAATGCCACCAGTGTCATTGGAAGAAAATTCGAAAGCAACCTACACCAATACCGACGCCTCCACCTATGCCTATAGCCATGGCAAGCGATCGCGAGGTTTCTCGACCTCCTGCGCCCCTTCCTATTCCGACTTCTACGCCTATGATTGCGAATATTCCTCCGCCCGAGCTTGAGCGTAATCATACGCCGCATCAATACCCATGGCCGCCCCAACCTCCATCGTATCCGTCCAACACCCCGTACAACAACTGGCTTCGTCGATCCCCAGTCCCAACGAACGTCGCTGCCGTACACCAAGTCAATGGCAATCATTCACCAAGGATGCCTGGGGTTGCGCCACAACTAGGAGGGCCACCTCATAATCGTCAGCCTGTGCAAGGTCTACAGCCATCCCCTCATCAAAATGGACGTTTACCCAACGGTTATCCGCCCTCTCCTCATCGACTTTCTGGACCTCCGCCCATGCACATGCAAAATGGAAGCTACGGATCATATGCTTCTAATAGACCCCCTCCTCATCATTTAACAAATGGCGGACCGGCTCCTCGTGCCCCGGAGCATCCCTTCTCGCAACACAGTGCGCTGATGCATTCTCGTCCGTATGGTGCACCACATGGACCACCACATGGACCACCACACGGACCACCACACGGTAGTCCGCAGCTCAACCGGCAATTAAATGGACTGCCTCCCCCACCCAATGGCCTTCCTCCACCTAATGGTCTTCCTCCTCCGTTGAATGGTGTGAGACCGAATAATAATCAGGTCAATGGGGGAGCAAGCGCGAGTCCTTCACTAGCAAATTTACTCTCTTGACGAAAGAGCAGAGTAGTCATACAAGCATGCATAGTATTTACGTCTTTTGTTACACTCCCGTCACATGTTTACATTTATCTCTTTCATGTATTGTATGATTCCAATGTTTAACTTGGGGCGTTTTATGGAGGTCATATCTTCTTTCAGGAGCGTGGCGTTTGAGACAACCACAATGTAAAATAGATTATTGCACTTCGACCGAGGTGAGAAAATAGAATCGGTTATGGCAACGTGAGACGACTGATTCAACAATGGGAGGGTATTCTAGAAAGGATGCCACGTTTAAACAACTATACGTATATCCCTTGTATGAGGAGTTAGTTCCGTAAAAATGTAATGTACCAAAATTTTGAAAGCAATGAATGTATTTTGGATAATTTGTGGCCATCGTGTTTATATCGCTTGCATCGTCTCATTTATGTCACGCCATTGGATAGCCACCCGTTATGAACTTCTGAAGATCACATCTGAAAGTTGTAAATTCTGCTATTTGAGAGTTTTAGATTATTGAATTGTGCACTTGGCCGGTAAGCCACATGGGCCTTCCTTGTCTTTAGCCTCAGTTTCTCCTCTGTCTGCTTTCTGGTTCACTTGTTGGATATTTTTAATTTCTTCCTTATTATCTGCCGAATTCGATTCTGACTTGATTTCTTCATTCTTTATGACAGGATCCTATCAATGAGGGTTAGCAGTGTGAGCCAATTGCAATCGTTGACTGCTGTTCTCGGATTCACCTACATCTAGTCACGCGAAGTTGACTTTGCTGATGGTCTTTCCGAATTCCTCGCCTTGAATGGTGGCAACTTCCAACTCGAGTGCAGAAGGTGATCGAGATCCATCGGCGCCCTAAAATAAAATATCAGTCCTATGTCCTCATAATCCCCTTAAAAAGATAGAACAAAAGACTTACAGCGAAAGTTCCGGCACCCCATGGGGAACCACCTCTAACCTCGTCCATATTTGCGAGTTGTGGGAACGACTTTGCATAACCCAAAGGAACATAGATGATGCCGTGATGAGCCAATGTTGAGAGAGAAGCAAGAACGGTGCTTTCCTGTCCACCACCGGGAGTGCCGGTGGAAACGAAGATTCCGGCGAATTTTCCCCAGTATCCTCCGGTTTGCCATTGGCTGCCGGTAGCGTCCCAGAAGGCTTTCCATTGGGCGGGGAAGTTACCATATCTGGTTGGGATACCGAAGAGGAATGCGTCCTAGGTTGTGTCAGCTGAGTGGATACGGGATGGGATTGGAAGCTTTGGGGTGAGTGTGGTTTTATGGTTCAAAGTGGATTGGTAAGACTTACATAGTTTGCAAGAGTCTTTTGGTCGATGACTGGAATGTCGGATTTTGCGGGAGCGTGCATCTTAGTCAAGACCTCTTGAGGAAGTGTCTCTGGAACTCTATTTGATGAATTAGCATTGGGGTTTTTTATTTCTCTCAAACAGGATAGTTTGAGACTTACTGGAAGAGATCGGCTTCAATTCCGGCTTTCCTGAGACCTGCTTGTTCGGCCTCGGCAAGCTTTTGGATGTGGCCATACATGGAGTACTGTGGGAGACATTGGGGTCAGTATCATGGCAGTTACTGAGGGGAAATGAATTTGAAATATCATAAATGATGGGTTCATGTGGAATGTAGTGTGTGAACATTCTATCCGTATGGGTGGATAAGATAGAACCAACGAAACATGAAGAGAAATTCGAGGAGTCTGGTATCTTCGTTCCATGCAACAACAGGGATGGCATAGAGAAGTACTTACGAAAACGATAGCTACTTTAGGAGCCATGATGAGAGTTTCGAAGGAGAATTAATTGAGAGATAGAAAGAGTATGAGTATGAGTATGAGTATGAGAGAGACTTGGACAGAGAGAAGATCGAAGATTGAAAGATGATGAATAAAGAAAAGACGCGAATAGATGGGAAAGTCTCTCCCTTCTTATATGCATTCATACATCAATTCATTCGGATCGCTACCAGGTACCTAGACACTCATAATTCTGATGCATTACTAGGGATCCATAGGCTAAGTGCACCTCGAAATATATTGGCATTTCCATAAACACATTAGTGAGTTGATTACTGATGCTTTAATAAGTGGTTGGTTAAGCAATTTTGGCATGTTGAAGCACGCAAGGAGGGGAGTTATAGATTGGTTGTCTATTATGAAATATTATCATAGCTTCAAGTAAGCAATTAGTAAAAGGTTGATTACCGGGTATTCGAGTAGATTATATATTTACATGTAATTTATGTAATTTATAATTACAAATGTAATCGTACCTAGTTAACATAACCGTGAAATCACGTATTATTATTATTAGTCGTAAATAGAATTTTCCCCCGTTTGCGTCTGCCAGCAAAACTGTCCAAGGCTTAAGTAATCCGGCTGCATTGACCTGGTGGAACCCCCCCTCACGTTTATCACCTTCAAGGCTTCACCTTCATCACGCTTTCTCAATTTGGTTAACGTCCGTATCTTACATATCAATTGGAATGTCGAATTTTCGAATATCCCCTAATGCACATGTCATTCTTTAATGCGAGGAACTTTCGCAGTTATAATGCTATCGTTCCATTCCCTTCCTTAAGTACTAGGAGATGTATTGGCAATATTTCGTCGTCTCGTTTCACTCTGTCATCATCTGCTCGCAATAATGTCATTTATTTCAGACCTCAACTTTTTCATCGAGGGAAGAAAACGAAATCTACGTTTAATTTCAACGATCTTCCTCATGGACTAGATTTGAGGCCCTTGGAACCTTTGGATTTGGAGCAATCACTTATTAAGGACAAATCTCCAGAAAGAGTTTCTTTGGAATTTTTTGAAGATGTCCAGGATCTACTTCAGGAGCCAGAGCCAGCCATGGCTGAATCTGAAGAACGGGAAGTTTCTGCAACTTCGGATAATGCTGAAGATGACACAAAGACAGTAAAACCATCAAGGAGAACCAGGCGCATAGAGAGTTTGCCCCAAGGCTTGATTGTTCTTGATTCTGAATCCTCAGAGATACAAGAATCACAAGTTACTCCATCTTCATCAACAGGCCAGGAAATTTCCAAAAAAGCCAAAGCATCAGGTGAAGTAGAACTTCCTCAAGGATTACTTCCTCTGGAGCCATTGGAAATTGACAATGAACCACCACCATATCCAACCGTGATCATGCAGGCCCATAGCAATATGCTCAAGTTTGAGAACTGCGTGGTTATAACACGTGTTGGAGGTTTCTACGAATTGTATTTTGAGCATGCAGATAAATTTGGTCCGCTTCTGGGTCTTAAGGTTTCCCAGAAGAAAACACATGCTGGATCTGTGTCGATGGTGAGTTATCATTATGATGTTATTTTGTTGTGTAATAACAGTAAATAGGCTGGGTTTCCTTTTCATCAACTTGATCGTTATTTAAAGATACTTGTTCAAGATTTAAATCGATATGTTGCTATATCAGAAGAGTATCCAAATGATATTTCGGACAAGGTAAAATCTGGAGGACTGATGCATGATCGAAGGGTATCACGTGTTGTAACACCTGGCACTCTCATCGATGAAGGTTTCATGGATCCTCTTTCGAACAATTATGTACTTGCAATACACATACAGCACGATGATACAACTAATGCTATTGAATATGAGAGGCATCATAAATCAATCGGGTTGGCTTGGCTGGATTTATCAACTGGCCATTTCTTCACCCAGAAGTCATCGCTTTCACAACTTCCTTCCTTCCTGGCCCGTATAGCCCCGCGCGAAATTGTGTTGAATGAAGAGATGCAATCTATGAAAAGTCACGAAATATTTACCATTCTCACCGACGAACACCATATGATCACTTATGCAACGCTTTCAGAGGTGAAGCCTATATCCGAGTGGACCTCCATGCTAGAATCGGCAGTTTCACCATCCTCGATAGACACCTTCACGGAAGAAGAGATATCGGCTGGTAGTTGCTTACTTCATTATGTTGAAACAAGATTACAAAGTACGAACATGAGACTCCAACCTCCTGTACGCCAGTTGAATGTTATGGGAATCGACAAGAATACTATGAGAGCTCTAGAGATCAAGAAGACTATCAAGGAAGATGTCTTCAGTGGTAGTTTATTGCACACAATCCGACGTACAGTCACAAAAGGAGGTGGAAGGCTGTTGGAGAATTGGCTTGGTAAGTTTTGTTTTTCTCAATAATTTGGGTGTTCTTCAAAGGCTGACGTAAAGAATAGCTTCACCTTCAACGTCTCTGGATGTTATAAATTCTCGGCTCGATCTCGTGACATGTATGCTTGAAAACGAAAATCTTCGAGACCGAGTAACAACTCTCCTGAAACGCAGCCATGATTCCCATCGTGTACTGCAAAAGTTTGCATTTGGCAGAGGAGATGGCGATGATCTTCTAGATTTAGCTAGCACGATATGTGCTACTCGAGATTTGGCATTCGCACTCGAAGTTCATAATGCGACACCCAAGGCTTGCATACAAGAATTGCTTACTCGTATTCACCTCAAAGATCCAATGGAACTCGCCAAAGCAATCACAGAAGCCATCGACGAGGAAGGTCTAGTTCAGCAACATCGTATCGAAGAAGGCGAGAGTGGAGAGATGCAAGCATTGGCCGAAGCAATCGTCGCCTCGGAAGGAAACACAGAAGAAACATCCATCCTTCGGAAAAGTAACCGCAAGAAACCTACCAGCCTTCGCGAATATTACAACCAAGAGAGTGAAGCCTGGATCATGAAACCAAGTGCTACGCCAACCCTCAAACGTCTCCACACAGAACTATCCTCTCTAGCAAATAAAAAAACAGCCTTGGCAGCTTCTCTCTGCGACCGTCTCGGCGCAACAAGTCTGACCCTCCGCTTCACCCCCGGCCTTGGTCACATCTGCCACGTCAAAGGGAGAGATATAAATCTGGACATGCCCGAAGCCCGCACCATCAGCTCCAGCAAAAGTACCCGTTCTCTTCATCATCCCGAATGGTCATTCCTGGGTCAAGAAATCGATCAATGTCGCATCCACATTCGAGCCGAAGAACAGCGATTGTTTTACAAACTTCGCGAGCTGGCTATTACCAACCTCGTGAAACTCCGTCGTAATGCAGCTGTACTGGATGAAATTGACATCGCGTGCTCATTTGCTACACTGGCAAATGAAAGAGGTTGGACTCGTCCCACTCTCAACACAAGTTCTGCGCACAAAATCATTGGCGGCAGACACCCTACCGTTGAGACTGGATTAGAGGAAGAGGGTCGAAGTTTTATTTCCAATGATTGTCTCGTAGGAGATGTTCATAAAGCATGGTTAATTACAGGACCAAATATGGCTGGCAAAAGTACTTTTTTGCGTCAAAATGCATTGATTACGGTTCTTGCACAAGTCGGATCATATGTACCTGCTGAGTATGCAGAGTTGGGGATTGTAGACCATATGTTCAGTCGTGTTGGGTCTGCAGATAATCTCTACCGAGATCAATCGACATTCATGGTGGAGATGTTGGAGAGTGCGACGATTCTCAAAAATGCGACTTCACGATCGTTCGTCATCATGGATGAGATTGGTAGAGGAACAACACCAACTGACGGTGTGGCCGTGGCCTTTGCATGTTTGCATCATCTTTACCATGTGAATAAATGCAGGGCATTATTCGCGACGCATTTCCATGCATTGGTGGATTTAATAGAGGATAACAATATGGATGCAGTGGGCTTTTATTGCACGGATGTGGAAGAGGATGGGAACACAGATGGAGCATTTAGGTATATGTATAAATTGAAGGAGGGTATCAACAGACAGAGTCACGCTCTCAAGGTTGCTAAACTGGCAGGATTGCCGAGGGAAGCTATTGAGGTTGCTAGGCAGATATTGGAAAAAGATGCAAATCCTGAATAAATAGTCAGTAATTGATCACGACCTTGAGTATTTGTGACATAATGATAAATATTGAAAGCATTCAGGAAAAAATTAGAGTGTTGTTGTTTTTAATCTTCAACGTGCGTATGCACTCGGGGTTAAAAAGCTATGATTTGTTCATCACAAAGCTTGGAAAAATTATGCAGAGTAAATGAAGAAATAGCAACGAACCTTTTAGAATTAATAGAATTGTGATTTTCACATCACATTTCATTGTCATACCACGATACAAATGCTTTGGCTTGTTAAGTTTTTTCATTATTCCAGAGTCAAGATACTTGAATGACAACTAGATAATCTTGATGTTTCTTTTTTTATCCTTTCAGACATATGAAGAATTCATTTCAGATATATCATTGACGAATTTAGTCGAACATTCCTCCGAATCCCTCATCAGCGGACTCCTCAGCCTCGGACTCCTCCTTCTTGGCCTCCTCAGCAGCGGCAGCTGGGGCAGCCTCAGTAACGGCAGGTCCGGCACTGGCGTAGGCCTCTGGGTTGGCAATTCGGTCCTTCAACTCATCAATCTCAGACCAGCTGTAGTCGGTCGAGATGGCAACGGCCAAAACCTTCTTGTAGCTGTTGACAACAGAGTGCATAACAGATGGAAGGGTTGGGAAGTTGGCAGCCAAGGAGATAGCAGCGATGGTGGTGATAGCACTGCTGAAAGCCTTGAGAAGTTGGGACTCCTCGATGTCGAGAACACTTGGTGGGAAAGTGTTACCAGCATCGTAAACTTGGGAGATACCCATACCGTATGTGAAAGGAGAGATGTTCAACATGTTAAGAAGGGTAGCCTCGGAAGCTCCGACCTTGGAACCAGCCTCAACGAGCTTCAAGTCTGCGGTAATTTCAATGGTACCACGGGCAATCTTGGTTGGGACACCGAGAGCTTGGAAGAAAGAGGTCTTTCCTGGTTCCATACCGGTGTTACCGGCTGGGACGTAGACATCAGCTGGGGCAACGGCACCAGCTCTGGCTGGAGCAGCGACCTTGTTGTCGAGAATCTTGTCACGGATGGTCTTGAGGTCTTGGTTGGTGAAAACGAAACCGACGTTGCCCTTGACGAAAGGAAGGAGACGCTCGTATTCTGGGTTGTCGTTGACGAAGCCCTTGACGGCACGGCGGACCTATTCAATCACAAATAATTAGTTTTCCGAGCGCGCCAATAATAGCAGAATCCATCGATCCCGCGTAAACGTACCATGGTATTCTTTCCCATCAAGACAACACCCTCACCACGGAGAGATCCACGGATCTCGTGCATTTGTTGAGAGCTGACATTGTCGACGGTGACGATGAAGATGGACTTGTACTCCTCGAGTAAGCCCTTGAGCTTATCGAAGTAGCCGGCCTTGTTTTCGGATTTGCCCCCCATATCTTCTTATTTGTGAAGTTAGGTGATTTAAGGACAAATTTATTATGTTGGAGTTGAGGATTTGTTCTTCGTGGAAGAATTGTGATTGTCGCGAAGTAAAGCAAAATTCGAAAAAAGATCCATTTGATGAGTTTGACGAATTGTTAGAATGTGGGAGCCGCTAGTGCTTAGCGCAATTTGGCATGCGAAAATATATTTTGATTGGTTAAGACGCTCAGACCCTTATTGACAAATAAATTCGACATGTCTGGATGAATATTTTGTATTTTTTGGGTATTTATTGGTATTTTGATATACGAATAGCCACTCCAAGGAAAGAATTGTATATCCATTTAGAACTTATTTACTTGATCGGGGGGGCCAAATCGGTCTACCAAAAAGATGTCGAAAGTCAGAACACCATATCAATGCCTTAAACAATGTGGTAACTATCTTGTAGCGGCTCGAGGCTCAAGCATAGATACCTTTGATATTAAAGATGGTTCATACCTTTCAACATGGAAGTCTCCAGTGCTAGAAAGTACGAATGCATTGAACACAACTGGAGAGGAGACGCAAACCAAAAGTGAGGAGCAGAACCCAGAAACATCTACTCCAGATGCCCCATTGGAATCGTCAACCCCGCCAGCAAAGAGACGAAAGTTATCCGTTAGCGAGGAAAAGGAAGAAAAAATTGTTGTCGTACAGCAATTGAAGAAGAAGGCGAAGAGCATACCAGCAAAGATCATTGAACCTTCACCCATTACTGCTTTAACTATCACAAAAGACCTCCAGCACGTGATTGCAGTTACAGGCGAGGACAAAACTATCAGAGTGTTGGCATGGGTGGATACAGTAGGCAAAGGATTAAAACAGATCAGCGACCGGTAGGGATTGTCTACTCTCAAGATGTGACTCTGACTAACGATTTCAGTACTATGCCTAAACGGCCTTGTGCTCTTGCCACTACCGATGACTGCAGCACCATAATTAGCGCTGATAAATTTGGAGATGTGTATTCTCTTCCTCTCATCCCATCTCCTTTAGTTCCATCCGCTAAGGAAGGTGTTTCTACCGAAAAGCAAGCTCCAAAGAAGTTCCAGCCTTCAGCCAGTGCCTTGACAGTACATTCCGTACGCAACTTAAAAGCTCTTGAGGCTCAAAAGAAACAGACCAACAAAGTGTCTGAGAAAACTGGTCCAGATTTTGAGCACAAACTTCTCCTTGGACATGTTTCTATGTTAACGGATATCGTGACGGCTTCCGTGTCAAGTCGTCGCTACATACTTACAGCTGATCGTGATGAGCACATTCGGGTTAGTCGGGGAATTCCTCAATCGCACGTCATTGAGGGATTCTGTCTCGGACACATTGAATATGTTAGTCGCTTATGTATTCCTTCCACAAGACCAGAAACTCTCATTTCTGGTGGTGGAGATGACGACCTACACGTTTGGAATTGGCTCGATGGATCTTTACTATCGAAAGTAAATCTCAAGTCTCAAATGCAAGCATTTGGCCCAGAAACCACCAAAGACGAAGCCGAGACCGAGCCTAAGAAGGTTGCAGTAACGGGTATTTATCACGCTAGAGATGAAACATCTAATCGAGATATCATCATAGCTACATCTGAAGGGCAAGTTTCATCATCCTACACACGAAAACTCAGCCTGAACTCAAGCTAACAAAACCCCAGTGTCCCTGCTGCCTTCGTTTATACTCTCATGCCTTCCAACCAACTCATACATACCCAAACCATCAACCTGCCAGGCAATGCGCTCTCTTGCACCCTCAGCAATCCCACCCCCTCATCTCCTTTCTCTCTCATAATCTCCATCGACAACATCCACGAATCCGGCTCTATTACCGCCGTAAAGGACGACAACTCACCCGTCGCAAGTCCTCTACAATTCTTCAAATACGAAAATGAGAAATTCGTTAATGTGCCATTGGAGGGATTTGTATCACAAGATAGCGAGGGGTTTTTGGATGCGGGGAAGAAGAATAAGTTGGGTGGTCTCTTGTATAATATTGGAAATTTGAGAAAAATGGAGGATGAGGAATAAATCCACGCATGTTTGTTAGCTAGCCTGCTGATCAATTGAATGGAAAAAAATACCCAAACTAAATCTTGACATTGTACACACTTAGACCAAAATGGAAACAGAATAATCTCCCGTCCTCCCACTGACATCAAAATTCCCCTTCCATAGATTCACTCTCTCCCTCCCCGAAAACAAAGTCACCATCACTCACGCGCGAGATTCACTCCTCCCCTCCCCACAAAAACCTCAACCTCCCTCGAACAACAAAAAAAGCAAAAAACCAAGTTGGACTTGGGAAAATCCTCTCTGAAATGAGGATTTTATTACTAGCAGAACCCTTCGATATGGGGCCAATTCTGTCCGTAATATATCAAACATCCCACCCATCCGAAGATGGTTAAAACGCAGTGTATATAAGTCAGTTGTGTAGACCACTGCGCCAGGTCGTACGATGAGATGCTTGATGGAGGTTGTGGGAGATTTGGGGTATTTGTATGACGGGTAGGCTGGTGGAGAGTGAAGGGATAGATGAAAGTGTTGTGTGTTGTTTGTATGGTATGTACGCCAGAGGCCTGGGATGGTTTGGATTTTGGGGATTGGGTGTGATGGTGACGGTCAGATATGAAATTCGAGATGTGAGATTCAGACAGGCGACAAGTTTTAGAGCATTCTTAACCAATCGGAATGGGAAATGATATTGGAATATGGTATCAAGATATTGTTGGATAGTTTGATGTGAACTCTTGCTTATCTACGAAATGGCTGCAAGACGTCTATAGACTCTGGGGTATAACTCTATTGAATTGACAAAGCTTTAAATGCTACTCAACATAGCCTTCTTTCTTCTTCTCAAGTCTGATTTTTAGTTTTTGCCTCCATTTAGCGACCGCCTGCCTCACTGCATCCGCAACCTCTGGGCCTTCCGCCTTTTCAATGACATCCAGAACCCATCTCACTCTTTCTGTTCGACCCCACTTTTCATTTCTCACATCCGCAATGATGCCTACCTGTGTAACCGCCCTTGAGATTTCCGACGTCGGTTCAACCTTATGCGCACGAAGATAATGCCAACACTGTGTAACATTGCGAAGAGCCTGTCTGGGATGCTCGAAATTTCGATGTGCAAATGCTCTTGCCATTTCGTGTATAAGTTCAACTCGTGCTTGTGAAAGAATTTCTGGTGATGGTGCCTTTCTTTTCCATTTTGGCATTGCTGCGTAGATTGGAGCATCCAATGCGGCCCAGATTCCCTCGCTTCCATGATATATCATTCTTGCAAACAAAGGCGCACACTTCTCGGGCTCGATCTCGCCTATGCAATGTTGCATGTATATATTATACGCAGCTTGGAGATCTAAGAAAGTCGTTGTGTTGACGAGATCTGCTAGGACATTGGAATTTATCCGCAAATTGAACATTTTTGATTGCCATAGCACTGCGTGTATGTGGCCGAATGCTTGTATATCCCGGAGAAAACTAAATAGATCTTGTATCTTCTCATCGCTCAATTGTCCATACTCTTTTAAAGTCCACAAAAGCCAACCAAAAGATGAGGGAGAATGAAGAGTCTTAATCTTGAAGGTGTCGATGATTACACTGCTATTTGTTAAAGTGCCCTGACTAGTCCAACGGTTTAGAACAAGCTCAGACATCTGGCGCCAAGTCAAAGTATATTCCTTGGTGTCTAGATTGAATGGGCTAAGATCTAGTTGCTGCAGTATTTTGAATGTCTCTGTGAATATTGAATTATCGATGTTTTTCAATCTGGAAAGCACAGAAAGCCAATTCAATCGTATCCTGTGGGATTGAGCAAGGTAGTCTTTGAGGCCCGAAACACTCTTCTGGTCCCAGAAAGTTGGAGAACAGATTACCCCTGAATGAGATCTGATCAGAACAGAAGTTATCTCTTTAGGTAAATTGGTTAGAGTTTGGCTCATCACACCAATGGAGTGACTGTGAGGCAAGAACATGCTTTCAGCAGCCCGCAATTCTGTGCTGGCAGCGGAAAGATTTGTAGATGCTTGCATGAGGATTCCTCGAACGTGCTTTAACAGCTCAGGCGTTTCCTTGCCTCGATTGGACCACATCAGCATTCGGAGGTGGTTTATACTTCGTTGCGAGGAAATCAAAGATGTCTCTGATTTGGTCAAGAACTTATCTCTATTTGTTGAAACAGTCATTTTTTGGAGCCAGCTTAATGTCCACTTATTGAATATAGACAAAATTTTGTCTACATTACTACCCAATTGGACTGCAGATAACGAAGGAAGTATTTCAGAAACTAGAAGTTGTGTTTCGTTGGTGCTTGGGAGATCTGCAATCAACGACAGATATTCTGCTATGACTTTCGAATCAAAATCCGCGGGCGTGAGAACATTACAAGACACAATGCCATCCCAAACTTGTTGATAAAAAGTAAGCAGTTCCTTAGCTGCATCAGCATCTCCTCCACGCAAACATGCGTGTGTCGTGGGACATTGTCTGCTAGAACCTTTAGCGTTGGAATAAGAGCCGCTATGGATATCCACGAGAACATTTGTAACAGTCCGAAGTGAGTTAGACAGCAGATCGCTAGTAACTAGTCCAAGAGTAAGACTCTGTTGGAGTCTTTTACGAAATGATACACAAAGCTTTAGAGCTTTCTTCGGCCCGAACAACTGTTGATGTCGACCCTTTGTCTTTTCCGTATTCCAGTCCCCTTTTAACTCAGTAGATTCTCCATGATTAACCCCCATTGCCATTTCAAAATCATGAAAATGATCTTGGATATGCCTTTCCTGTCGTAAGATATCATAACCTTTCTCAGTCGGTTCTTCCGCAATTGCAGGATTTATAGAAACGTCCGCAAGTTCTTCGGGCATGGGAGTCCAATTGGTCAACCAGGATGGTAAATCCGGCGGATGCTTTGACTGTTCCGTGATTCGAGGTGTTGGAGCCTCCCACTGCGATTGAATCTTCTCTGGCCCCCACGATGAGCACCACAAAGCCCCCGGATCATAAACCAAAGCTTGTGTCATCTCTGTGGCATATGCCATTCTTCTCCTCCCCAATCTCCTCCTGCTTTCCAATGGGCCAGGCACTGAGCTCCCATGTCGACGTATTGTATTTGAGGCACCGCAGAAGCGTTGGAATGCACTGCAAAGATCCTCCTCAGAGATCCATACACATTCAAAGGATGTTGTTAGATGTTTGAGCCTTTGACAGGAAGTCGATGGGCGAGGGAGCATCGCTCGTTGAAAAATATGCCAGCCGCGTTAATGCTTTGCGATTCGACATTGGTGAGGTATTGACATTAGATCTCTTTGGAGCAGAATGGCATGCTCTGTATTCTTCAAGCGCAAGATATTGTACAGTGAGAATGACTTCAGTAGAAGCTTTATTACTGAAGTTTGAGTAACTTATCGTTAATTCATACATAGCGAATGATAACTGAAATGCAACGGATCAACAGTTTTTCCAGAGCTCCTCGTCCCTGTCAATTTTGTGGATCTTGAAGCTCATGTTTGGTGGGGTGAAGTTGAAACTCTGAAGGGACCATGGGAATTTAGGCAATGGTAATAGGAAGAAAATAAATAATAAGTTAGACCAAGGTTCATATAAACCTTATACATCAGTTGGATTTCTTCCTAACTTCTTCTCGGATTTATTATCAACCTTATTGTTTGACACAATCTCAGACGTTTGTATCTTGTACATTTGTGGTGTTTTTCCAGCAAACGAGTCCCCTCATTTGATTTGAGATATAAATTAGTACACCATGGAGCATCAATTTGAACCATTACAGAACGATCTCATCCTTAGAACAGCATGGGGTAGATATAACGATTCCTAAACCTTCAGAATGCTAATTGCTAACCAAATCCAGGCCAGAAGGTTGAACGTCCACCAATGTGGGTGATGCGTCAAGGTATGGCCAATGTTTGAAGTCAATGAGATTAATGAGATAGAGATAGAGATAGCTAACATCTGGGAATCTCACAGCTGGACGTTACCTGCCTGAATACCACGAAGCAAAAGGAAAGAATGACTTCTTTGAATGCTGCCGCTCTCCAGAGATCGCATCAACATTAACTCTCCAACCCATTGAACGTTTCGCCGGACTTGTCGACGCAGCTATCATATTTTCCGATATTCTCGTAATTCCTCAAGCTATGGGGATGACCGTAGAGATGGTTGACAAGAAAGGACCTCATTTTCCCGAACCTCTGGAGTCACCTGAGGACGGCCAATATGAGCAAGTTTTGAATAAGAAGGTGGATGTCGCGGCAGAATTGGACTATGTTTACAAGGCAATCACTTTGACCAGACACAAGTTGAAGGGAAGAGTACCATTATTTGGATTTTGTGGTGCCCCATGGACCCTGTTATGTTACATGGTGGAAGGTGGAGGAAGCAAGTTGTTTGTGAAGACCAAGACTTGGGTTTACAGGTATCCAGAAGCAAGCAAGGCTCTTCTTCAGAAGATCGCAGAAGTGTGTGTAGAGTATTTGGCTTTGCAAGTAAAGGCTGGTGCACAGGTAAGTTCATTGGCCGCTCACGCCGTTGCTTGGTCGGAACTAATGGTTATACCAGTTGGTTCAAGTTTTCGACTCGTGGGCTGCGGAATTATCCCCATCTTCTTTCAAGGAGTTCTCACGACCATATCTTGCCTACATATCGGAAAATCTACCAAAACGCTTGAAGGAGCTCGGTCTCGAGCAAGTCCCAATGGTTGTATTTGCAAAGGGAGCTTGGTATGCCTTAGATTCCTTGTGTGATTTAGGATACCAGGTGGTAGGTTTGGACTGGTTACAAGACCCCGCGGAGGCCGTTCGGATACGAGGAAACCGCCCAATTGTCTTCCAAGGCAATGCAGACCCAGGAGTTCTATATGGAACTCGTTCCGAAATCACTCGGGTAGTCGAGGAAATGGTCAATGGTTTCGGTGGAGGAAAACAAGGATGGATTGCAAATCTCGGTCATGGTTGGTATTTCCTATTCGACTGCTTTTTCTCAACTAATCCATCTTCTTACAGGTATCACGCCATTCGTCAACCCCGAGGACTTGAAATTCTACTTCCAAGAGATTCACCGATTAACCAAGTGATATCCGAATCACTAAGCGTGTTGATCATTCCTTGGTGTGAACCCTCCTCTCGACACCGATATCTTCGTTCCTATGAGAAGTATTGAGTCAAAGATAGTCTTTCAGGATTAGATTGTATAACATACCACAATTCTGGCTTCTCACTAATGAACTTCTCCATCAATTCCTGGCACTCTTTGCTTTGCATGTTGACAACTTCAATTCCTCTTTGCTTTAAATATGCCTCACCGCCGAGGAAAGTGTTGTTCTCACCCACGACGACTCGTGATATTCCGTACAAAATACATGCTCCCGTACTTTCCATCTTGATTAGCAAATTCGCGATTCATTTATATGAATATCAAACATACCACATATCACATGGAGACAATCTACCCTTAATTTGTTAGTTTTGTCCTCTTGAATAAGGAAGTTCTGCGTGATGGCGAGGTTTTCTCTTGACATACGTTGTATACATAGTGGACCCCTTGTAAGCCGAGGCAGGGAGGCGACCTGAATTCTCTAAAGCGGATGTCTCTCCCTAAGTTGCATCAGCACCTTTGCATCTGCAAGCTACAGACAATACCACGTCTTACATGATGAATGGCACTCCCTTTCTGGACTCTCATATTATGGCCACGGCCCAACAACTTCCCATCTCTGGAGACTAAAGCTGCACCAATCTGATATGCATGGCATCTTGATTAGAAATGGCCCGAGATTTGTAATGGAACGATCTTGGGGATTCGTACCGGTACACCACCTTCTTCATATCCAATCTTCGCTTCTTCGACTGCAATTGCAAAGGCTTCTTGATCGCTCAGGGGAGTCATGACTAAACGTAGTAAGTGGTTTTTGAAGAGGTTTGATGGGGGAGAAGAAAGAATGAGGGGTAGCAGACAAAGTTAAGCTCTCTGATTCCAGATAGATATATGTATATGTACGGAGTATGTATATGAATTTTACTGTACAAGATGAGCAATGGGATGATCAAGGATGTTTTTTCTGACAAATTGGGATTAATCTTATCCATGAAATTGTGAATGATATACCCAAGCTATACCGTCTTCTATACCCAGGCATTCTGTACATAAAGCGAGATCATCTTCCTACCTCGTACCTCGCCTACGTACTTCGTACGAAGTAGTACAGTACCTAGGAAACTGTTTCCGATGCCAAAATGTGGAAGAATTTATCAAATGCTTATCGATAAGAAAACCCCCCACCTTGGAAGTTTGAGCCAACCTTGGAAGTGTTTCTTTCGATATCATCAGTTGATGAGGATGTCATTCCTGTATCCGTCTCAATAGAGTCTAGCCTAGCCTTATATTTTATATCGGAATAAGCAAAAGTGAAGGATTGGTGTGGAAAGAAACAGGCGAGACAAGAAGCAAGCATTGATTGATTACATTATACACGTTGATTACATTATACGCATTGAATCCATTCACTGTCTTCATCTTGAAGTAATATATATATATATATATATCTCTCTCTCTCTCTCCATACCTACTGTAGTATTAATCAATGTGAATAATTAACCTTTATTTATACCTATATATAGCTGCCTACCTAGGTATATAAATTGAGTGAATATCTATCCAGGTCTTATTATGAGGAGGGGCAGATTTTCCTGATTCCCAAAGAAACATTCTCAATCCTTGTCCATTTTCGAGACCCTTCTTTCAGATTCTAAAATATTTTGCCCGCCGCTTCTTCCTGCTTCTGTCTTCTGTCTTTTGTCTTCCTTTCCTCCTTATTACTAAATATAAATGTAGAAGGCAAGGCAAAACTACTAAGTAATAATAATAATAATAAGAAGAATAAGAACTTCATTCTACCTAACTTATTCATTATTTATTTATTAGTCCATTCAGAAAAATCTTACCCACTTACTTTCTTTCCCCTTCGAAATCCATTCATCGCCATTTGCAATCCATCTCCTCTCACCCTCTACCACTCTTAATTATTTCGACAATTAAAGTCTTCCAAAGTTCATCAAGTTACACCTTGAAAACAGTTTCTTGAATCCGAGATCTCTTTCCTCGAGGAGAAAGAAAAAAAGAAAAGAAAGGAAAAGAACTATTAGTTGTTCATCTCCAAACATCTCTACTTGTGCGCCGAGTCGTGAACAGTACCAAGTTGTAAGTCATTCATAGTTTCCACAATTCTAGTCATGTAGCCTGTCTACGGTAGTATTTTCATATGTGCTATCGTTCTATGATGAGTTGTATTGACATACTTATCTATGTCCTTCTACGGGCCCATCATGGTACTGGTTGGTTTAGTTTGATGCGATTTTCGGATGGCTAACACTTCATCTACCACAATTCAGAATACAAAAGAGCCTAGTCCGACATTGTATTTACAATCTCTCGTCGAACAGAATCACAAACTCAAACACATAAAGAAAGTCAACGTTGAAGAGGTCTTTTCTCTATAACACTATACAAAATGGTCAAAGATACCAAGTTATACGATCTGCTCAGTGTAAGGCTTCACTCCTCTCTGTGATTCAGAGAACAATGCTCAACTCAAAAAATAGGTTGCACCAACTGCCACTGAAGCAGAACTTAAGAAAGCATACAAAGTCGGGGCTTTGAAACATCACCCAGGTTAGTCATTCCCCATACTTTCCCCTCTTGCTGGTCTTTTCTTCTTTCCCTCACTTCCGAGACGTGAGTCTGACATCCGACCAACAGACAAGAATCAACACAACCCTGATGCCGAGGAAAAATTCAAGGAAATTTCTAGAGCATACGAAATTCTTTCGGATCCCCAAAAGCGCCAAGTCTATGATCAATATGGCGAAGAAGGATTGGAAGGTGGTGGAGGAGCTGGTGGAATGAATGCCGAAGATTTATTCTCACAATTCTTCGGTGGCGGCTCTGCATTTGGCGGTGGTGGATTCGGTGGTATGTTCGGTGGTGGTGGTGGTGGCATGCAACAACGTGGTCCACCAAAGGCTCGCACTATTCATCACGTCCACAAAGTTTCACTCGAGGACATCTATCGCGGAAAAGTCTCCAAACTCGCTCTCCAGAAATCCGTCATCTGTCCCAAGTGCGAGGGACGAGGTGGAAAGGAAGGTGCCGTCAAGAAGTGTGCTGGATGTGACGGCCACGGTATGAAGACGATGATGCGCCAAATGGGACCCATGATCCAACGTTTCCAGACTGTCTGCCCTGACTGTAATGGAGAAGGAGAGATTATCCGTGAGAAGGACAAGTGCAAGGGTTGCAATGGTAAAAAGACTACCGTGGAAAGAAAGGTCTTGCACGTCCATGTCGACAGAGGTGTTCGCAGTGGACACAAGATTGATTTCAGAGGCGAGGGTGATCAAACACCAGGAGTGCAACCAGGTGACGTGGTTTTCGAGATCGAGCAAAAACCACATGACCGTTTCCAACGCAAAGACGACGATTTGTTTTTCCATGCCGAGGTCGATCTTTCGACTGCCCTTGCTGGTGGAACCATCTTTGTCGAGCATTTGGATGAGCGATGGTTGAGTGTTGAAATCCTTCCAGGAGAAGTTATCAGCCCAGGTAAGCAATGTATTCCAATGCGCCCATCTTGAATTTGTTTAACAGTCTTTATAGGAAGTGTCAAGATGATCCGTGGCCAGGGTATGCCTTCATATCGTCACCACGATCACGGAAACTTGTACATCCAATTTGATGTCAAATTCCCAGAGAAGAACTGGACCACCGATCCTGCAGCGTTCGAGGCCCTCAAGACCATCCTCCCACCGGCGCCAGAAGGCATTACACCACCTACCGATGCGATGACCGAAGTTGCCGATCTCGAGGACGTTGATGCCAGTCAACAAGCTAGAGCCTCAGGCGCCGGTGCCATGGACGAGGACGATGAAGATGGCCAAGGTGGCGAACGTGTCCAATGTGCTTCTCAATAAATTTATAGTACTATTGGCGTTTTGGCCTGGGGATTTTCTTCGTACTTTTCTTTCTTCATACAGAGATTTTTTCATCAACCTCTTTTGCATCTTTCGTCGGTTATATGATACACTATACTTGTTCTTCATGGTCTCAAGTGCGATACCACCATGGCGCATTCAAATTTTCAAGGCAAGGGCTTCTTGAATTTTGGTCATTAGCATACACGAATGACGATATGAGCAAGGAGTGGGTTTGGTTTCTGGGTGAATAGACGAGGGCTCGGAAGAACGAAGGGGCTAAGAGCCTTTGGACAACTCGATGTGGATGGATGGTGCGAACCCTAATTTTATCATGAGAATATGAGAATCATACCTTATGAAATGAATCGAGCATCTTTTCAACAAGTTTCATACAAACTCAGATCAAGATGAAATCAGCATTGATGAAATCAACACATCCGAGAACTTCTGGCTGATGATCTCTTAATACGACGTTTAGACAGCTGGGATAGATAGCATGTAGGTAAAAAGCAGATTATATGAACCATTGTTTGTGCTTGGATGGCATGATTGTGTGATGTGATGCTTTGCTTTGAGGTGACATGTACGTGGATTTGTAAAAGCTCCTCGATGGCCTTCCAGACGTGAATCAACCGGTAATGATGTAACCAAGCACCTTATACAATATACTCATCCTATACTCTTTGGCCGAAGGAAAAGAAGGGGACCCTAAAATATTTTACATGTATAACACATACAATTCCTTTGATTTGTAAATCTCGTTCAATTATATCCATTAAAACGAGAAACTAACTACTAACTACGGTACTAGTATCAGTAATGGTATTGTTACAAATAAACATGCATCTATCAAATTCTCATGCAACTTCTTCGTTCTCATATCCATCCATGCATGAACAAGTTCCTAAAAGTATTCTCCGTCCCCAATCCCATCCCATCCCATCAACGTAAACATTATAAACGCCTCCTCTCATCTTTTGCTCATCTCAAAATATCTCTTTTAAGCATATGCTTCAGGCCATACAAAAAATTATAGTCCATCCCTCATCCACCCTTCTCAACTCTCATTTTACTCATCCTCCAAAGGCTTGACCTTGACTCCAGCGCCCTTAACTGCTCTTCTCAATTTATTCCTCGCTTCTCTCTTCCTCTTTGCCGCTTCACTCAATTCTGATTTTTCTTCAGCACTGTACCCACTGACCTTCTTCCTTGGACTAGGACTTCCATAAATCGAGCCCGAACCACTCATCATGAAAGTCGATCCGCCTAATCTTCTCGAGGCCGAACCCTTAAATTGACTTTCCGGTGTGTAGAAAAGCCTACTTGAGTTACCGGTACCGGGTGTATTGACTCTCATGCTTAGTCTATTCGTACTTTTCTGCGGTGTTCTCAAAGAGGGTGAGGATTCTCGACTGGTGGTATTAAATCTCAGTTTGCGCATCTGGTTTTCGAGAACATCGACATCCCCGCTGCGTTTTTCCGCCATTGAAGTCATCTTGGTGATAGTACGCATAATAGCTTCAACGGTGGGAGCTGCGGTTTTTGCATTCCCGATGGAATCCTGAGATGCAATTTTAGCTCTGAGGACAGTGAGGCCTTCTTCGGCTTCAGAGAGGAGTTTTTGAAACTTCAAGTAATCTCGACGAAGATCATGTTGCTGTGCGGCTTGCTCGGTGTTGAGTGGTTGTGCTCGAGCCATCGCTACTTGGTCAGGGTGTGTATGTGACTGAATTGTCTTTTTGACCTCCTCAAATCTCTGTCTTAATTTAACAGTTTCCTTCTCGAGGTTTTCACAAGTTTCGATTTTGTCATCCACAGCTTGAATTCTACTCATTTCTAGTTCGCGTGCTAAATCTTTTTCCACGACATAGGAAAGCGCTTCTATTTCATCTAGGCACCATGACTCATCATCTTCAAGATCCTGTCTGCCCCTGTCTTCTTTGAGTTGCTCGGCGTGTCCCTTGATGAAGGATTTTAAAGCCTTTGCATTGAGACCAAGAGTGTCGATCATAGAATTTATATCACGGTATAAAATTTCTACTTGAGCCGGAATGCTGTCACCCTTTTCAGGCGATTTAACATCCGAATAAGCAATGAATTCGTCCAACGTCCTCGTGGCTTCAATATCTTCGGTGAGGAATCTCTGCATCTTGTCATCTTCATCATCGACGAGTGTTCTAGTTTCTTCTGCCTCCTTTCTCGCTCTGGCCTCGAGGCGGCGCTGTTCCTGTGCCTTTTCCTGCTCAACAGATGTCGCGAAAGTGCTTTGCGTGGGGGTGATTGCTCGTCCCGATGGCTTTTGCGCATTTAATAAGTGAGATGCAAATCCTGGTGCACTGGCAGATCTTGACGCGTCGGGGCGCATCATTCGTGGCGGAATAGCCGTTCTCACGGGACTTGGTGACCGAGGTGATGGAGGAATTATAGGGCCTGTTGGCGGCGGTAATTTAGGAGCAGCACTAATCTCCCCAAAGAGTCCTCTCGATTGTCCAAACGAGGGAGGCTTTTGTACTTTTGTGAAGGGACTGATATCTGCTTTGGCTTTCTGCTTGCCACCGAAGGAGCTCTGAGGCGTTGGGCTTGGCGTGACGTTATTCTCAGGTGTTGGACTATCTAGCTTTCCAAGGTCCTCCCCGCTTCCCTCTTCACTTGGTTCTTTGCTCTGGTCGTCGTCTTCATCTTCTGTCAAAAAGTCAGAGTCATCACCTTCGTCATCCGGGCCTCCAGGAATATCGTCTGTTGGAGATTCAGGTGCAGGTTCTTGGGCTGGCGATTGAGTATCTTTTTTGATTGGAGGTGGTATTTCAGTTTGAGCGGGTTTAGGCTTGAGGACAAAGTCGGGTGGTAAGGGTGCATCATTCTTCTTTTCTGAGGCAGGTATATCTTTACCTACGGGTTTGGGTTTAGGTGTGAAATCCGGAGGAAGTGGTGCATCGTTCTCAGAGGCAGACGTTTCGCCAACAGTGTAGCTGGATTTACTTGTTGGATCTGGGGGCAGAGGCGCTTCGGGCATTCTATCGCTTACTTCTTGTTTGATCTTCGCAGGCGGTGAAGAAGGAGCTGGAGCTGATTTAGCAGGTATAGCCGCGGCGAAGGGATTTGGAGTGGCTTTAGCCGAGGCTGCGAAGGGATTTGGAGCCGCCTTTACTTCGGTGCTCGCAAAAGGGTTTGGTTTTGTAGTTCCGGAAGCAGAACCAAAAAGACCACCACCAGTAGCGGGGGCTGTTGTGTTAAAGAATGAAGACTTTGCCGGGGCAGGGGTTGAACTTGGAGTTGCGGATTGAGATTTTGTTTGTTCTTCTGCTTCTGGAGCGTCCATATCTGCATCTTTTGAAACAGGCGTTTGCACAGCGGGGGTCTTCTCTGCCTCCTTCAAAGCATTATCAAAGGCTCCACCTCCAAAGAACGAACTCTTTGATGCAGTCGTATTGTCTGGCTCAGATTCTCTAGAAGTATCGGCCTTGAACGTGGAACCGATAACAAACTTACTTCCTCCGAAAGGACTTGACGAAGACTGTTGCTCGGTTTTATTGGCACCTCCAAAGAGACTGCCAGATTGCGCAGTATTGCTAGTATTACTGGAACCGAATACTCCGCCACTCGTATTCGGAGCGTTGTTGCTGGAACCAAAGATACCACCTCCAGTGGCGGGCAATGCGGCAGGTTTAGAACCAAATATGCTTCCTCCCGTGGCTGGAGCAGCTGCAGCTGCGAAACCACCTTGGTTCGCAAAATTAGCAAATCCTCCAGACGTCTGAGGCTTGCTTCCAGTGGCAGCACTTGAGCCAAAGACAGGCTGAGATGCTCCCAAAGCGCTTGACTGACCAAAAGCTGTGCCTGTGCTTGGCGCAGCAGTATTCGTAGAACCCCATACTGATTGTCGCCCTGGCAAGCCTGATTGTCCAAATGCTGGAGCGGATGGTGTACCGAAGGTTGGCGCGCCGAAAGCTGGACCTGCTTGTGCTGCAGGAGGGGCCATTGATGGAGTACCAAAACTTGGCGTTCCAAATGCTTGACCAGTCTGACCACCCTGAGCACCCCATGGCGACTGTGTCTTGCCCATAGAAGAGGACGACCCGAAAGCGCCTGTTCCAGCAGGAATAGCTGGTTTCCCAAATGCTGAGTTTGTAGGAGCTTGACTTCCGAAAGGTTGACTTGGAGTACTGGTAAAGGTAGGTGCTGCTGTGGTAGCCTGTTGCGAAGGCGCCACCCCTTCAGCAGCAACTAGACCTGGATATATAGTTTTCTGCCGAATCGAGTCGTTGTAGATGATCCACCAAGAAGCCAAGACACCTTCATGGTTCAAGACCATAAGAGCAGGCGCGGGGTAAGGTGATTCATCGATCTCCTCATCGCCGGGAATCGGCTTCCAGATTTTCGTAGTGCTTGACAGGTCAAGCGCAAAACCAATGGGTGAGGTATCCCCAAACCCTCCACTTGATGTTGCAGGAAGCTGAGCTCTAAAAGAGTCATCGGCCATTTCAGTCATCGTGAATACCCCTGTTATTCTGTCTGTGGGTTTATCGGTAGTCAGCGGTACGCTCGATTTGGTGAGGAGGTTGATGTCCGTGGATGCAGTCGAGCCTACTACCAGTAAATCCTGTATACTTGGGGGAAAGTCTTTCAAACGAAGCAAGAAGTGATGCGGTGGTGAACGATTGAGACCATACGGTGGAGCAGGATCGGTGAGTTTCTGGAAAGTGAAGATCGCAGGTGGTTGCCTTGTAGCCAGATGGAATTTGGACTCGGGAGCATTGCTAGGATCGAAGTTTGATGGTGTATGCACAAGCAAGAATACGTTGTTTTCGAGCCAGGTAATGGATGATACTCCGGCATGTTAGTTTTTCCCTGTGATATGGAACAATGAAAACTTACCATGATCGCCATCATTTAAGTCAGGCGGCTTTGGGATTTCCGCTTTAACTTCACCCTCCGGTGTCATTTGTACAGCACTACCATCACCGAGCCCGGCTACCAGTTGTTTTCCTTTAGTGGACCATGAAACGCAGCTAACTCCACTCCTTAAGACCTGGCCATTGGGACCTGGTTTGAATGCGCGATCTTTAAGGTTCGCCATCATAAGGTTTCCATCCCCAGTCACAACCGCCAGAAGCTCGCCTTTCTCCCTTGTGGGATTTGGCACAAGAGCTCTCAAAGATTCGCCATTTGTAGGTACCTCGAAGGCTGTTTGTGTAGATCCATTGAGAAGGGCGTCAACATCGTAGACCGCCAGCCCACCACCAGTCTCAGCAGATAGAATCAAATAAGCATCGTCCGCCGAAAAGGCAAGCTGCGATACCCTCATAGGCATAGGGATTCTGAGCTCAGGCTGGAAAGATTTAAAATTTCCGCTACCAGGCCCCTCGAACGCCTTCTCCACTGATGCCGTCCTTGCAACAACTATAGCATCTGGACCGGCCGCTGCCAGCAATCCACGGCGGGAAGATATGCTCAGTAACGAAGATGTTGGAGGAGGTGGGTTATCGACTGGCCATGCCGAAGAAAGTAATTGCAATTTAGATTCGCCTGCAAGAGCATGAAAGTGAAGGGCCTATGTTTGTATTAGCTACTATAACAATCCTGTCAGACACTAGAATAATGGATATACCGTCGTTTGTATGTCCTCCAGCTCAGGACCCAATTGTGCACTGCGTCCTGTCGCACCACCAGCAGGGCCTCCACTAAGACTACCACCCCCTGGGTTGCCAAAGCTGAATGCCATGATCTCAAAAGATGCCCCAGAATACTAAGTGGATTGGCAATTCATTACAGAGCTCGGCGCATGGAGTGAGTATAGCGAATGATTCTGCGAAAGGAAGAGAGAGGTAGGCGTGAATCGAAATCGACAGCAAGGAAAATAGGAAAAGTTAATCCGAGGAGCTGTATCGAGGTTTGAAAGTCTGCGGTGGTAGAAGAAATGATTAAAATGCAAATGGTTCTACGATAGCTTTCCACTTCAAAATAATAATTAAAGCTCGATTCGCTCTCCGCTCGCGTTTTTGTAGATCACGTGTTAAATCGCGAAAGCACAAGCTCAAGCTCCAGGCGCCCAAAGATCCTCGTCAGCGACAGCAACCTGGGATTATCAAGGTCCCGTTTGAAGCTCAGCAAATCAATCATTTCAACACATTTACGAATACCACCAATTTCTCCCAAAATCCTATTCCATTTCCACCCATTCCAATACCCAAGTCTCACATATAATCCCGCTCATAGAGCTTTGTTGATACAATGCCTGGTTTCGACTTCTCCAACCATACTCGCAATGCTGCGTTACACGCCAGAGGTGTTCCATTGCCAAAAGCTACAAGCACCGGAACTACGATCGTAGGATGTATCTTTGATGGAGGTGTAGTTGTGAGTTACGTTCATTATTCCGCCATCTAAAATAATTTAAATACCTCGTCATCTTAAACTTATATATAAACTACGATGCTAATCAGACCTTATCCAGATCGCAGCAGATACCAGAGCTACCAGCGGACCCATAGTAGCAGACAAGGTACGATCAGTATAACATTACGACCGTTGATGCAATGCTTATTGCCATTAGAATTGCGAGAAACTCCATTACATTGCCCCTCAAATCTGGTGTGCAGGTGCAGGTACAGCTGCCGATACCGAATTCACAACTGCCCTCATCTCTTCACAACTCGAGCTCCACTCGTTATCAACAGGTCGCAAACCTCGAGTCGTCACTTGCATGACTATGCTTAAACAACACTTGTTCAGACACCAAGGACACATTGGAGCATATCTTGTAGTGGCAGGTGTCGATCCTACAGGTGTTGGATTGTTCACAGTACATGCGCACGGAAGTACAGACAAGTTGCCATATGTTACCATGGGAAGTGGTTCACTTGCTGCGATGTCTGTGTTTGAGACACAATGGAAATCCAAGATGACAGAAGATGAGGCTGTCCAGTTGGCATCAAATGCTATTCAAGCTGGTATCTTTAACGATTTGGGTTCCGGATCGAACGTGGATGTGGCAATTATCACAAAAGATAAGACAACATTGAAGAGAGGTTTCGTCAAGCCAAATGAGAGAAGCAAGAAGCAAAAGAGTTATGTTTTCCCTAGAGGAACAACGGCTGTTCTCAACGAAAAGATCATTACGAGGGAGGAGATCAGTAAATATGTTACAGTACATGAGGTTGAAGGCGAGGCTGCGCTAGGGGAGAAAATGGACATTGATGCTTGAGGATGGAAGATTGTTTAGGACGGGGTCTCTACTTGTATCAAAAGACTAAATTCAAGGAAAGGCGCATCACAAATATCATGTAGCTTGAGGAGAATGCGTTCACGTTATAATGAAATATCCGATGGGAGCCAAGGCTACATCATACTCAACCGATCTTTTATTGATGATTCCAATTGTAGTTTAAGGTGACGGACAATAGTCTGATATCATTTCTAGTAAATAGATGTAATAAAGAGCGAGCCGCTATCCCGCTAGCGCTTACATGTCCCAAAACCTCACTACGTCCGTAAATCACATCAACCTCGAGATCTATCCCTCAAGAAGAGTTGAACGAAGTGGAAACGGCCATTTCACTACTCTGGTAGGGATACAGAGCGAGCTTTCAGTGGTCTAGGCCTGGGAAACTCCCGAGTCACGACATCAGAATCATGGATCATTTCAATGAATCAAATACGAACATCCCAAACTACTCTAATCCATCCGATCAACAAAGGCAGAGTTCTGACACGGCTGATACCACTCCAACTCTCTTCTCCCCTTCTCATAATATACTTTCTGCATCGTCCGTCGCACCGACGGCTTCAAACAATGCAAATACATCGACGGGACCCGCCACACGAATTCGAAGAAGGAATCGTATGATTACATCATGTCTTGAATGTCGACGACGAAAGCTCAAGTGTAACAAATCACAACCATGCAGTAACTGTCTGAAATTTGCTCGAGATTGTGTGTTTCTTGCACCAGCGCTTGACCAGGCAAGTCAACTCAAGCTTACCGAGATCAAGGAGAAAGTTGGCTCCCTGGAACGATTACTAGAACGCGATGTAGCAAAGCATTCAAACCATTTCTCTTCTAACCAGCGTATGTCATTGCCTGATGACGCAGATGATAATCTACCTCCAAATGAGGATGAAAAGGTAAAATCTATTTCGTGACACGCCCCATTCTCAAAGTCATTGACTAAATTACAATAGGATCTAGAGCCATCGCCACTTGCATCAGTAGATGCGGCTTATGAGGTTGACGGAGACGACGATGACCTTCTTGATCTTGGAATTCAAATGGGTAAGATGAGGATCACAGAACGAATTGGAGGATTTTTCCGTCCCAAGATCAGCCAAGAGGTAAGATCCCTTAATGATTATACCCTGGCCACCTTCAAAACACCTTTTCTTTATCTAAGTGACAGATTGGCTTGCAACAGTCCATTATTAATAACCTGTTTGAAACTGTATTTTTTTTGGTTAATCATAGGAGCACTGGACTATGCCGGCGTTACCGCGAATCTCACAAAGTCGCTGGCTTCCTCAGTTAATATTCTGTCCCCCTACCTATTGTAACACCCCTAGGGTCTTTCTTCCTTAATACCACATCAAGCTGTAATTTGGAAGGCATCGCTAAATTTCTTGTAGCTTGAGCATGCAATAAAAGATCCATATGCTTGGGGGAGGGAGGATGATTCGATCGGCATTCACACACTTCCTCCTGCTCAGGAATGGCTGAAGCCTGGGCTAGCGTATATTGCTCCCTCGTCAGGTTTCTTCTTCGGACAGACAGGACAACCAGCATCCCTCATAGACTTCCTTCCATCGCGACTTGCTGCCGATAGACTTGTCAAACAATTCTTTACAGCTGTCTATCCCATCGCACAAATTCTGCATCGGCCATCATTCGAGAAAGAATACGACACATTTTGGGACGAAGTCTCGTTAGGCATCGAGCCTCCTAATCCTGTCCAAGCTATGGTGTTTGCAGTCATGTTTGCTGGTGTTGTTAGCATGGACCCCTCGGATGTTATCCGTGACTTTGGCGCCGCAAAACCAAGTTTGATTAATAACTTTAGATTGGGTACGGAGACAGCTCTTTGTCGTGCCAATTTCCTACGAACAACCAAAATAGAAACACTTCAAGCTTTCGTTTTGTATTTGGTTCGTCTAAGCTTCTCCTATAATCATCCTAATCTTACTAATGAGGTCACATAGATACCTCTTTGTAGAGCGGAGGTCTCCAGAGCCCATTCTGTACTTGTTGGAGCGGCCATTCGTATGGCCGAATGTATGGGTCTCCATCGTGATGGAGAGTTCTACGGTCTATCACCATTAGAGACCCATGTACGTCGGCTTATATGGCATCAGCTATGCTTTCTTGATATCAGAACATGTGAAGCTCAAGGCCCACGGCCTACTATTCGTCGAGATGATTTTGATACAAAACTACCACTGAATGTTGATGATTTTAATCTCCATGCTACTGGCAAACCACCCCAGACTGCAGACCGTTGGACAGATGCCACTTTCTCAATCATCAGATTCGAAATCAACGAAATGTACAGAATAATCTGGGTCGACCGACCTCGAATTCAGATGCGGAAAATTAGTCTCACGGCCGTTCTTAGTAAGGTAGAGACATTTCGGCAAAATATGACCAAATATGACAAGTTCATGGATGATAGAGTGCCCATCCAAAAGTGCGCAAAGCTTGTCAAATCTGTCCTGCTTTCTCGAATGCATGTCATGCTACTTCACAGCTATCATAGTTCTACACATTACCGTATGCCCGACCGTTTACGGAACATCATGATCACTTCTGGCCTTCACTCTATGGAAAGTGCAATAGCTTTAGAGACCACACCGGCGCTTCGCAACTGGCAGTGGTATGGAGGGGCATTTCAACAATATCATACAGCCTTTCTTCTTCTGATGGAAGTATATGTTCATCCCCAGAGAAAGGAGGCAAACCAAATCTGGTTGTGCCTCGATTATGTCTTTGAGTGTGACCCTTATCTGCCGCGACTTACCAAAGCAAGGAAGATCCTTTCTGAACTGCAACAGAAGACGGCCGTATATCAGAGTATGAGAGGCATGCGAGCACTGGTGACTATGAACAATCTTGCTGGCAAGCGGCCTCCTAAGCCACCTTCGGGAGAAGGTCGCGCAACGGGTCCCATATTGAAGCCCGAACCATATTTACTCGGCAAAATGCCCCTATCTGACTCAGATGCGATACTCTCGAGTGTTTCAAGCAATGAAAATGTCGGGACTCATCCAACCGGGCGTACTAGTGAAGTAAGCAGTCCCACTAGCACAATGGGACAGCAGATAGTATCTCAATCATCGAGTGTTAACGATGATATTATGGCTGACATAGACTGGGTATGTGTTTCTAGCTATCTGATATGTGTTTTTACTAATTCCTCTGCAGGATGCATTCGATGCACTATTTCCACCAGACCAACAACCAGAGCTCGACGTTCACAGTTTTTCTTTTTCAGACGCAGAAATTGGCTTATAATTTTGGTATGATATAGAGATTTTTTGATGTTTATCAATGTTAAATACATTTGGAGTTTTTCTTCTTCGTTCCGTACACTGTATATTATATCCATCATTTAGAACTAGAGTTAAGTTGGAAGAATTATCGATGCCTACCTAGGTAGCTTCTCTTCCCTCGCTCCTCCCATTCAGCCACAAAGAGGGGAAATCTGCCCCACATCATCCCGTCCGGACGCCCTCGGCCAACAGCCCCAGCGATTTCGCCATATCTATATAGATATCACGCAATTGACCAAAGAAAGTAGATCTACAAATAAAATCGAACCTAAACTTTCGTCATTATGAGAGAAGATGGAGTGACATACGCAATTATCAAGTATGAGATAAGATGAATAATAATAATAAGTAGATATCATCCCCCTCTTCCGACATTCCTCTCTATCTCTCTTTCTCTCCTTCAATATCAAATCACATTTTTGATACTTTCAAGTTTTGGATATCTTCACTTATTTCACTTACCATTTAACATCCGAGAAACTGTAAAAATGGCTCCTTCACTTCTTGATACCCAGCCTACAGCACCCCATCAACTTTCCTCTCCATCCCAAAAAACCATTGATCGCAAAGTCTTCCCAGATGGTATCAAAACTTCGGGTCAACATCCACCACTTTACGATCAATTGAGGCCATACTCTGATTTTCCAAAGGAAATCACCGGAGAAACAGTCTGGAAAGCGGAAGATTATATCAATAACCCGGAAAGATGGGTTCATGTCTTCAATGAAGAGGAAATCGCAGAACTGAGTGATGTAGCGGATAAGTTCATTGCGAATAAAATCCCTCTGACGGGTATTTCTCAGGTATGTTGTATAACGATTGAGTGTCGTCCAAGTACGAATTAAAGGATTCCTTGACTAATTCCAAGCAGGATACTTTCCGCCTCGCAAAACTTTCTACTTTGCTAGCATCGATTCGAACGGAAACTTTGAACGGAAAGGGCTTTATCCTTTTCAAGGGGTTTCCAGTCGAGAAATGGGGAAATCATAAATCTGCTGTGGCATACATGGGGTTAGGAACCTACCTTGGATATTTTGTCAGTCAAAATGGTCGAGGTCATGTTCTTGGACACGTCAAGGATCTTGGCGAGGATTCAACACAGATTGATAAAGTTAGAATTTATAGAACCAACGCCAGGTAAGTCTCTATCTTACTATGATCCTATGTAATAAGCTAACAATAATAGACAATTTTTCCACGCTGATGACTCTGATATTGTCGGCCTTTTGTGCATTGCAAGAGCGCTCGAAGGCGGAGAATCTGATATTGTTTCTTCGCACCACGTCTGGAACACTTTGCAAAAAGAGCGCCCCGATGTAGCAGAAACACTTACCAAACCTATCTGGTACTTTGATAGAAAGGGAGAAGTCAGTGTTGGTGAAGAGCCATACATCAAGAGTTCTGTCTTTTATCTCGAGACCGGCCCCAATGGTCGTGTATACTCAAAATGGGATCCATATTACGTGAAGTCTCTCACTCGATTTTCGGACGCAGGAGTCATTCCACCTTTGTCACCTGAACAGGTTGAGGCTGCTAAGGTTTTGGAAGAAACTTGTCACCGATTGAGATTGCACATGATTCTCGAGATTGGTGATATCCAATTCTTGAGTAACGAACACGTACTTCATGCTCGTACTGCATATAAAGATCACGCACCACCAACACCAAGGAGACATCTTATGAGACTATGGCTAGCGACACCGGAGAGTGAGGGAGGATGGAAACTACCGTTCCATGATTCGAACGAGAAGAAGAGAGGTGGCATTCAGGTCAATGATCAGGCCCCTGTTGCACCACTGGATGCAGAATAGATTTCGGGAATTGGCGATATTATTATTAGATAGCATAGAGCCATCGATGACAAAAACAATATTACTGAACATGTCAAGCTAAATTCTTCAATTTGCTTCAAATATTGCCCTTCCGGTGTGTGCTTTGATTCCGAATAACGGAGCTCTGGCGCTCCCATAATTTTGAGTCATCGCACGTTGGGAAACACATGCATGGAGCGAATCTCCGTCTAGAAAGGCAATCAGCGACACTCCGGGACCGAAACATTTTGAAATGCTTTCAATTGCATTGACCTCCCTCCACCCGTACTCTTATCCACTTACTTCCTCACATAGTAATACAGAGTTGAATATCATCCTCCCTCTGAACCTTTTTCTTCTTCTCCACTTCCCTCTTCCTCGGCTCCGGAGTCATATCAGGCGGACCAAACCACTATTCCCACGCACAATATTAGCTTCTTTCATCTCAATCACCTCAGTCTTATAACCATTTCCCTCGCTCCCCCTGCCCACATCCCAAACAAACTCACCGAACCCCCCGTCTTCCTCTCCTCAATCATCTTAACCAAATTTCTGTCATACACCCCCCTGAAATCATGCCTCGGACACATGTATTTCACCACTCTTACAATCATCGGTCCTTCGATTCTTAAGGCACTAGAGGCGAAGACTGGACAGGTGAGGAGACCCATGCGCCAATTGCAGGGTTGGGCGATTTGTATCCATTGGCAGGGCTGGTGGGGGACTTTTTTGTCTTTGGGTTTGGGGGAAGAGGAGTGGGAGTGGTGGTGAGAGCGGTGGTGAGAACGAGTATGAGAATGGTCGTTGGGATCCTGGTGCTCGTAGCAGGTGGAGGATTGGTAGAAAGTATATTTGCACATTTTGGTGGATGTCAATTAGTGGATGGTTTGAGTGTGTTTTGAAACCTGCAGCGGAGTGACAAATTGCTGGGTACTTCCTTCTACTCGAAGATGTGAATCCGATGGCGCTTTTGAGAAACGCGAGTTGAAGGAAAAATCATGCAAGTGTGAGTGAATCGACGGAGTACAAACAAAAAGCTGTAAACATCTTTCTTCCCACAATCATTCACATAGGAGGGGACGAAAAGTGAATAATGAGGCTGATATTCATGTTACCATTTCCTCAGACGAGTGTCATTATGTACGTATGGGTATATCTCATCATCCATTGAGAAGTAACGCTAGTCTCCGATGCAATACCCCATTCCAAACTCCGCACATCCCATGTAAATATATACATATCATACAAGTCCGACCATTTATAGCTTTATAACTGTTCAGGCCCCGGGTTCTCTTCGCCACTTTCCTCTACTTGTTTCTTTCGTATTGCTTGCATGAGCTCATACAATTGCCCTAATTGCTGATCTAAACTCTCTGTTAGCGTTTGGTATGATCAACTTATAGCACAATGCATACCACTCATCTTGTCAATCTTCTCCTTATCCATACGCTCCCCAATCCAACTTTCTCCCTCAAGCTTCTGTGCATACATCTGCCACTCCGTCAAAAAGCCGATCTATCCCTCAATTAGCTCTCGTACATCCCAAACCCCTCCATTCCTTATCCCAAGGACACAACTTACGATATGCACCGGGTTCTCCACCTCCCTGTGTTGTCTAAACTCGCTCTTAATATACTCATCCCCCAATAACCTCATCTCTCTCGGTAAATGTTTCCTATGCGCTCTAAACAACCTTCGGTACAAAGGAATCGGTGGCAGTAAAGCCAAAGGTGGAGGTCTCATTCCTTTTCCAATACCTGCCGCCGAAGGCGACGCCATTAACAAGCGTGGTGAAATCTTCATTTTGAAATCTGGGTGTTAATTGTGAAATCTGGGGAATGAGGCATGAGAGCTCGTGAAGTCATCGATCCATGATGGCTCTCGGCAATCTGGTTCCCCGCCCAAAAATTAATTTATCAGCCTTGTCACTCATTTGCTACTCACACAACCAAAAATTATGTTACACTTTTGAGAGAACTTTCAAATCTGGGGCTCTTGGGGAAATTTAAATCTTAACTTAACTATAGATTTGAAAAGAGGAAGCTTCTGCGATCACAAGAAAAACTGTCCCGGTGATTTCGAAAGAAAATTAAAGGTTCCCGACAAGGGGCATTTTAAGCTTTTCGCCGCTTCTCTTGTTTCCATCTTAGTTACAGCCTTCTTACATTCACTTACACACACTCCGTTGCGCCAACAAGGTAGAAATGCTTCCGACGCCCGATACCTCACATGTGTCTTTCGATAGAATCTACGAACCTGCCGAAGATTCCTTTCTACTCCTCGACACCTTATCCTCTGCGAGTGAAAAAGGATTTCTGCGCCAACGATTTCCTCAAAGCGAACAGAGCTTGACATCGCCCTCTCCATTGGTAGTAGAGATTGGTACTGGATCTGGAGTTGTTCTCTCCTTTGTACATGCACACGCAGAAATCATATTTGGCAGAGCGGACATTCTTACAGCGGGCGTCGATGTCAATCGCTATGCATGCGAGGCTACGAAAGAAACAGTAAGAGTAGCGGAGAAGGAACAGGCTTCACAAAACATATCACACGGGTCGTATCTAGGGAATGTGGTGGGAAATTTAGGAACTCCTTTGAAGCCTGGAATGATAGATGTATTGATCTTTAATCCGCCATATGTGCCAAGTCCGGATGTGCCTATACCAGAGCTTTCTGGGGCAGGAAACGAGGATGGGTCATTGTCATATGAAGGCGACTCAAAATTACTAGCTTTGTCGTATGCGGGTGGAGTAGATGGTATGGAGATTACGGATCGATTAATCGATGCTTTGCCTCAGGTTCTGAACCAGGAGAGAGGTTGTGCGTACATCTTGCTCTGCGCGCAGAACAAACCCGAGGATGTCAAACAACGAATACGTGGTTTTGGTGACGAGTGGAAGGCAGAAACTGTTAGTAATAGTGGAAAGGTTGGGGGATGGGAAAAATTGCAAATCGTTAGGATTTGGCGCATGCCACCTAACACCTCCTGAAATCAACGTAACCAGCACTCGTCCATATCGTTTTGATGCGGTCAAAAAAGCCCATGTGTATTTCAAAGCCCATGGATAAGGCATCCCATTGTTCGTTCGTAAGTGATCGATTTAGCTGCTTTTCATATGCCACTCGAAACGCCAATATTCCCACAAGCTGTGCATGCATGGCACTCTCTTTCTCCCTTGATCATCTCCCGCCTGTATAGCCAAGTAGAGCAAACATTCTTAATATAATCCTATCCTTCCAGATTCTCGACTTGCCGCCATTACCATCATAATGATCATCAGATTGTCCATCCGCCCATTGTATGCATTCCTTAGAATCCTCTTCCACCGCCTCGTCCTCGTCCTCCTCTGAATCCACCACCACCTCCTCGTCCTCCACCTCGCCCACCTCTAGGTCCGCCTCTACCACCTCTACCGCCTCTAGTATCGGTAGTGCCTGCAACTTCCTTTCTCGCCTTGTTCTTTGGCTTTGGTGCATCGTCTATCAACAATGTGTCGAGCGGTAACGAATCAGGCAGAATGTAATAACGAATTGTGGAACCTCGTAGATTAATGGTATCAAGGGTGAGGGATGTGCCATTCTTTGGCGTCATCTTGACGGTGCGGAGAGCTGTGTTCATTTGAGGAGATACGGAAGTTATGGTACCGTGGATGATTGTGCCTAGTATGCTTGTTAATAGACAGTTGTTTGGCAGCTGAAAGAGCTTGAGAATAGCAGATAATATTCATACCATTTTTAAGCTCAATGGTGACCGTTTCGTTCGCGCATTTCATGAGAAACCTACCATGGAAGGAGATGTCAGTCAGGAGATTCACATGGGAGCCTTGAGAAAAAAATTGAGCTCAGCGCGTGCCAATTAAAAGGCCTTATAGTGATAGGGATAGGCTTACCTGACGAGCTTCATATTGTCGGTTTTATTGTTGATGTATATTGGTGGTTGATGGTGGATCGTGAGGTCGGTTGATGGGCCTATACATAAATAAAGCATTTGAAGCTTTTATCGCGAGGTTCGAAATATTTTTGGGCCTGATATGTAAGGCCACAGTTTCTCTACGTAAACCTAGAACATCTAGCTCGGAATTGGAGGGGGAGTGAAGGAAAGGGTAATTTCTACCTAAGTAATTCAAATATTGGAAAACAATATCCATTTCAATATGCTTTAGGGGTATCCATAGTGTTTTGTATAAATTTCAAACATTGTACTTCAGGTACACCAATATTCAATGATCATCTAAGTAACCGGGTATTTCCTCAGCTCCCATCTTTCCATCGAACATTGTGCCATCAATTTCCAACAATTTCCCCCCCGTGTCGTTTATTTATCCTTTTCATTCTCACTAACTTTCTCCCACTCATCCTCAGTACTGGGCTCACTCTTATTTCCTCCTCCAATAGAATGTGCTCTGCTCTTCAACTCCCCCTTCACTTCCAAAACCTCGACCTCCTTGCTTCCTGGCGGACCATCGTCGTCAACAACAGTCTCTACATCCGTATCGCTAGCGTCTCCTCCAGCTCCCGCTTCTGTCTTCTTTCGTGCTTCCTCTTGCTCTTTCACCGTCTTCAACTCTGCGGCGAACCAGTTTATAGCCCACCATAGCCCGCCACAAAGAAACGATAGAATCACGAAATGGATACTATATGTGGCTACCAAAAGGGATAAGAACACGAGCTGTAGGGCTGCGAACGTGGCATTGGTTGCAACAAGGAGGACGGGAGTTGGACCAGGTGTGAAGATGGATTCCCAAAGGGAAACGAAGAATTCCGATGCCATGACTTGCTATTTCTATTTCTTATACTGATTTTACTCCTTTGGCAGAGAAGTAGCTTTCGTAGCTCGCAGTGGGTAGCAAGAAGGATAGAGAGATCTTTCAAAGAAGGATATGTGTTGCGGAGATGAAGAGATACTAGATATCAAAGTGATTAGTGGGATGGCATTCATGTATTTATAATACCCCTCACCTTCCTGCTTCAGACGAAATGACGCACACTTTGTAAAGTTTTGCTGAATATTTCACGACCACGTATGCTAAAGATTCTTGTAGCCTGGAGAAATCTTCCAAAGGGACAGATATGTTGTTTTCAAGAAGTTGAAGTTGTGAAGAAATAAAATAATGCAAGATGTGTGTATCATTCAGGAGCTTGACAACGCGACGCCCCTCTATTCTGCCTGTTCTCGGCTTTTTTTTGGACCACACCACTTAGCTCTAAGACAAGACAAAGTGAATAATTGAATGCCTTGCGATTGAGGTTGGAAGAACTAAAGTTTCTATGATGAATAATAATCGGAATATATATTAATCCATCATCACAAGCTTCCACATCACAATGAGGAAACATTGTCCTGGATATACGTTGTGTATCACTTTGGCATGCAATGCACAGAATTCGCCGGTCGCACAGCAGACACAAGTGAACTCAATCCAAGTACTTCGTGACTATGCATGGTAGTTCCAGTTGTAAGGATGTATACATTTACCTGCAAACCTCGAAATTATCTGTAGCGATCTTTTCCAAACATTACACAATACATCTGATGTCAGCATTGTGCGCCTATTAAGCTCTCTCTTGAAACTCTGCAGCAGCCAAAACCTTCTCCGTGGGATATTTGACAGTACATCAAGTACGGAGAACTACATTCTTTCACTCAATCATCTCATGCTTTATCCGATCAATTTCATTCAAAAGTCTAAGTGGACTTGTATACCAGATGTTCAAGGATGATATTCAGGTTCTTATCATACAAATTCTCAAGTATCTGCCACCGGCAGTGCTACACCTGTCTGACAAACCAGCTGGACGTCTGAGATCTTTCAGATCACAAGAGCTGTTGTGATACTTGGCGCCAAGCACAAGGACCTCAAACAGCTTCTTCTACCTTTTCAATCAGGACAACTTCATTCTTCTGGATCCCACCAGTGGAGGTAGAGCTAATAGATCCTCTAGGCAAATATTTGGAGACTCGTACCGTGTCGAAAATATTTTTGCTCCGGAGGAATATTTGATCAACCTCTTCGAGATGACGACCATTGATTTCCGGAAAGAAAAGGTATACACCCATCAGCAGATTCAGCATTTTATGCTTTTTTTTCTTTCATCGATTGGATGGCTGCTAACCTGGGAAGATCAGGAAGAGGTTGATACAAGCATACATAATGTAGTATCTCCATCCTATAGTAGCAAATCCCACCGGTGTTATTTCTGCGATAATGAAATTGAATATTCATGAACTTCCTACAACATTCAGTCAGTATAAATGCAAATAGTGGTTCATGTCGGATAAATACCTGTTGACATGGCAGTGATAGGAACTCGAACGCTCAGCGGTGCAACCTCCGAAGCATAGAGGAAAGTCAGTCCTAGGAATCCGGTAGGGAAAAACAACGAGAACATAAAAATGGATACTGCAGCGACGATGACACATGATGTGTTGGTAATCTGGGAAGATGTTCCGGCAATAATCGCCATGCAGGATCCCATTCCAAATGCGGCAAACATCATCAACTTTCTCCTTCCGAATCGATCAACTGTCAGAACTCCTATTGGGGAACAAAACGTCTGCCAAGTGAAGACGGGAGCACTCAGAACACGAGACGTCTGTGCTGATAACCCGAGGCCAGTCTCAAAAATGGTAGCTTGATAGAAAGCGAGGGCGTTTATACCACTCACTTGCTGGAACATTTGTCCACATACTGCAAGACAAGCTCTGTGGAAAAGGCGTTCATCGCCCATGCAAGAAATATCACGAAAAGAGCCTTTCCCGGTGATCGCAAGGCCTTCTTCAATCTCTGCTATATCGGCCTGTACTTGAGCTGAGTCTATTGGCTTATCGTCTAATGCTGACACAACTTCCCGTGCTTCGTCTGTTCGCCCTTTCTTGACCAGCCAACGAGGAGACTCTGGCATACGTGGCTTGGTAATTAGTACGACAATGGACCATACCATGGAGAGAGCTAGCGGAAATCTCCAAGTGACTCCTCCGGACAAATGGGACATTCCAAAGTTTACCCACTGATTGAAGTCAGTTTTTGTTGCTTCTCTAGCCCGTGATGATTGAGGAGTAAAATAAATGTCGCGAAAAAGATAAAAGGGTGACCAACAGCAGCCGTTGCTAGGCCTGCACTTATAAACAACCCTTCAAGAAGCACCAGCGAGCCACGGTGATGTGCTTTAGAACATTCTGATTGCCAATTCGGAGCAGTTGCTGTCAAAGCACCAAAACCTAAGCCGGAAACAAGACGTCCAACGATTAATTGTCCCAGGAAATAAGAGGAAGATTGAAGGACAGCGCCAGTTATGTTGATTGCTGCTCCAAGCATGATTGTTCGTTTGCGGCCCAGAGTATCACCTATTCTGATACAGGACAAGGCGCCAAAAAAGCATCCAAGGGTATAGAGAGCAACGACAGTTCCCTTGAAAAAGTCAATGACAAAGTAAAGGTATGAGAAGTATTCGCCTTAATTTACCTGTAACCGGGAGTTGTTGGTTTTCTCATTGCCTATGACAGTAAGGGTGTTGAGCTCTGGAAAAGTCTTGATCCAAGCGGGTAGACTAAGTAGTCCGCCGGCGACCTAAAGGGTTCAGCATTGCTGTTCCATATTTTTGTCTAAAGCTGTGTTGTTTTTGGTGGAGAGTAGCAGCACTCATAGCATTGTTGTACCCAAATCTACATTTCAACAATATTAGGTAATGTAATTTAGCTTTCATTCTAGATTTGCTCGGTGAAGTGCTTGACCTCGGAGACCAAAGAATCTTGTCATGTTTCCAGGGAATGACAAGTGGTATGAATTGCAGATTCAATGGGATGCCAGGGTGATGATAGCGTAGGTAAGAAGGATATCTATGGTCGGCAAGCTTTCAAACTGTCACCTGGCTTTGACAACGATATTTTATCTTTCAAGTGTCGACCCTTCCTAAATGGTCGTCTTATAGTGATATTCTTTTACTGTCGCTTACTTACAGCCGATAACTTGCTTACTAGGGGAGCTACGTAACGTTCTGATCATCAAACATATATCTAGAGAAAGATTTACATACAAAGGTAGATCTTAAGACACTACATCGGTGTGGGAATACCTGGCGTGCCTGGTACTCCTTTTGATGTTCTATCTATTGTCTCAGTGTATGTCTGAAAAGCCAAGGGGAGTTCTTTCCTATGCAAGCTTAACCCCGCACTTTATATTTTGAGAGATTTAACATTGGGTCTAAAGTACATCAGGTTCTTCTCTCTATCACAAATAATATATTTGAAGCTCATGCGGCCAGTAGTATTGATACTGTTGAAGCAGTGGGTTTTGAAGATTATGCATACAACATGTAAAACATTAATAAGCGACTACAAGGCTGGGAAAGAAAGCTTTCCACACTTTCCTCCTCACTGTTATGTGGAGTGGGGCACCCGCCATTTCGATCACTTCTCCGCATGTCAACGCGGGTCGACTAATCCTAGCTGAGAAAACGTCACTTTGGCCACAAGCTTCGAGGATTTCCTTATCCACCTTTGAGCTATGCGGAACTGTTCTTCCGTCTATTTCAAATAAATACTTTAAAAAGCCACCTTCATGTATCTTCCAACCTAGCTTCGACAAAATATTTAACTATAGATTCTAATTCTCCAATCATTGATTTCTTGGCCATTTAAGCATACACGTATCAGTCTAGAGTATTAGATCTTCTCTTCGAGTGATACCGAGTACCTCATCCTTTGATCTCCGAAGCATCTCCATCACTTGTTTTAATGAGATCAGATCAAATGGCCACAGCATCTTTGGCATCTTGGGCACATGGTCTTAAATATTCCGATTTACCACCCGATGTCATCCGAGCTGCTGTGCGAAGTTTCTATAACTGGGCAGGATGTGCAATTGGTGGAAGTGACCATCCAGCAACTACTATAGCTGCAAGTTTTCATCTCTAGCTTCCATGTTTCCATGTATTCAATGTACTGAATCTCCATGAAAGTATACTTCTTTGTCTCCATTCTTTGGTACTCCCTCGGTATCCTTGCTTGGTCACAAAGAATCTCGTCGTGTCGATGCACAGCACGCAGCTTTGTTGAACGGAATAGCATCTCACGTGCACGATTAAGATGGTACGCATCTCAATACAATTATCCATCCCACCGGTCCAGTTGCGAGTGCACTTCTTGCAGTCGCAGAATGGAAAGGTGGCTTCTCGGGAAGAGAATTTCTACTCGCTTTGATCGTGGGCATTGAAGCGGAATGTAAAGTTGGTCTGGCAGTCTGGCCAGATCATTACGATACAGGGTGGCACATTACATCCACGACAGGCTCTATCGGAGCTGCAGCAGCTGTTGCGAAATTATTAAATCTTCCCATCGATCGCACAACGCATGCATTGGGAATCGCCGCAACACAAGTTGTTGGCTTGAGAGAAATGTTTGGGTCGCACACCAAGGCTTTTCATCCCGGTCGTGCAGCTCAAAATGGTCTCATGGCTGCGGTGTTGGCTCAGGGTGGTTACACCAGTAGTGAACAGGCTTTAGAAGCCAAGAGAGGCTGGGCTAACGTTGTTGGTATTACAAAGCCAGATATTGGAGAAAGTCTGGCAAAATGGCTGGGAACTAATGATGCCTTTGGTCTCCCCACTACAGAACGCGCGGGAAGGTGGGAGATTTTAAGAAATAGCTTCAAACCATTCCCATGTGGGATTGTGATTCATCCTATCATTGATGCTTGCTCTCAACTTAAGCTTGACGTGGAAGCTGCTGGGTCAACTGCTAAGATTATCAAATCTATTGAAGCGAAAGTCCATCCTCTTGTGTTAGAGCTCACTGGGAAAAAGAATCCCCGAGATGGACTGGAAGGCAAATTCAGTGTTTATCACGGAGCTGCCATCGGTCTTCTATTTGGAAAAGGAACTCCGAGTCAATACGAGGACCACGTAGTTCAAAGCCAAGAAGTTATCTCTATCCGCGATAAAGTCAATGCTGTAGCTGACAGTAGTTTGGGTGCTGACGAAGCAATAATAACGATCATATACGAGAATGGGAAAAAAATTCAAAAACACGTCAAACATGCAATTGGAAGTGTGGAGGTACCAATGGATGATCAAATGCTACAGCAGAAATTCGTAGACCAGTGCGCTGGTATTTTAGGCGAATTTGTGAAGGAAGCGAGCGATGCTTGCTGGAATATCGAGAATGCCAAGGACGTTGCCGATATTGCTAAAAGAATCTAAGTTAGTCTATCAGAATACAACTGAATGTTGGAAAGTCTCTCGAAAGTTACCTCGCGCATTTTGAAACGTCACGTCACCTTTGTTTGCTATTTGTCATTTTTCATAAGTTCTGAATTCAGAGGCAAACTCATTCTACTGAAATGACGGAATATTTTACATTCAACAAAAGACCTCCAGATGTTGCTCGAAATATCATTGGTTTCCTTGGTCAGTTTGTACTATAATGTAAAGAGGAGATTTATTTTTACACAACTTATTTTGATCTAATTCTATCACGGGCTCGTATTCTTATTCATCAGAAATGACATTTTGGATTGACAAAAGTGTTCAAAACGATCTTTTTACTCACCATATTCTCCTTAGGTGTGCATTTATGGCGCATCGATCAATATTATTTGGCTTCTAGAAATTAGTATTTCTATGTTGCACTATTTTATGTGTGTTTTAACATCCTCCCAGACTTGATTTTTCTCGACATCCGAGGTATTCTGTTCGTAATCCATAGGCTTGCGGTTGAAAAGTAACATCTCAAACTTCAACCTCGACTCCTCCCTCAAAACAAGGAGGTAGTACCTCTCCCCTAGTCCTCAAAAGATCGCTCACCGGCTCAAATAATTTCCTCTCCCCATTTCCCTCTCCATATCCCTTCATATCTTCCCAGCGCACCCATTCCCACCCCGCGCACTTCTCCGGCTCCGCGTTCCTCGGCCCCTCTCCTTTTCCATCCCATCTCCCCACCATCCAAATTGTCACATAGTGTTTCTTTTCCTTACTTTCATCTTTCCCATCTCCATCCATAACACTATTCGTCACTGTCAAGAACCGTACATCTTCCCTCTTCAAACATAATCCGGTCTCCTCTTCTACTTCTCGTATAGCGCATTCTTCAAGTCCCTCGCCGAATTCGAGATGTCCTCCTGGATGAGCCCACTTGCCTGCGCCGAGCGATCCGAGTCGTTGGCCCATGAGGAAGATGGGGGAGGTGGGAGTGGAGAGGGGATGGGTGGGATGTAGGAGGAAGATTCCTACGCCGATGCGGGGATGTGGGGAATGGGCCATTTTAGGGGGGTTTTTTTTTTTGTGGTTGGGGGTTTGGAGGCTTGGAGATTTGGAGATTTGGACGTTACGAAAGTCAATGTGCAATAGAGGTCTAGAGGGAAGAATGATCTTAAGAAGTGGGCAGCAAGAGAAGTGGGTGGAGATGATGAGTCATCGTGACTCGAGTTCTTGGAGTTGTCACATCCAATGAAGCTCGTTATTGTCTTGATTCGGATTTGGAGATTAATTCATTGATCCAATTCATAGTAGAGAATCTACGATTCATTTCGTCTATTGCGTACCTACGTATTTCGCTTGAATATCTACTGTGATTTTGCGTTATTAAATCTCTACTCTCAATTCTATTGCAGTATATACATCTCATCTAATATAGAGTAAGTAAACTCAATGTCTCTCATCTCATTTCATAGTATTAACAATATTGCCCCAACACCAAAAGAAAGGAAAAGTTCCTCAAAAGATCTCAAGATGAAACCAGTATATACATACAATAAACTCCCACCCTCGAAACGTAACGCAGTATTGTCTAAAAATCTAGAAATCTAGAAGTGTCTCGTTTACTCTCCTCAATGTCCTAGGTGTCTGGGTAATCAATCTTACATGGAGAAAAATTAAAATTAAGCGGAATATACTAGGTAGACATATATCAGCAAAAACACACTCTACATATTCTACATGCTGATATTCTCTCTCCTTCTCTATCCATCTTCGTAACTCTCCACAAAGTATATATATAACCTCCTCTTTATTCTTACCACTTTCTATCTTATCAATCATTGTTTATTTTTTATACTTTAGACGAGGATACAGAGGATATATAGATTGCCACTCACTCACTGTATTACCTAATCTAATCTCGTATACGGGTTTGTTGGAGAGATGGCACGGTATCAGTTTACCTTTGGGGATGATAATGATGATGAGGAGGAGGAGGAGGAGGAGGAGAAGAAAGATAGTGGGAGTGGTGGCGAGAGTGAGGTATTTACTCCTTGTCCTTGTTATTTTTCGTCTTCTCTTCCTTCCTTTTTATTTCGTATATCCCGAGAACTGAATAACAATATCTAATCTCTTCACTGCAGAGCAAGCCATTATCAGCATCATCATCATCATCATCATCTAAAACCCTTTCTCCAAACCCCCAACCCAAAATCCAATCTAGCAAACTACTCACCCACACCACCCCTCCATCTCCCTCCCTTACCCTCCAAACTCATCTCCACACCCTCTTGAGACTCACAAACGAGAAACCCACCACTCCCTCTCCCTCTCCCTCTCTCTCTCCTCCCCCACAACCCCCCACATTCTTCGACCGCCATCCTAGAATCACACCCCGAAGAATCGCACCATCCAAACCATCCCATCTACCACCCCTTACCCCCTCCCTCCCCATCATCTCCCACTCCCCCAATTCCCCAATCCTCCATTAGGAACTATCCCGAGCCCCTCTCCCCCCACCCTCAGCATCCCTTCCTCCTCGAGACTCCTCCAACACAGTCACACCCACACCCACACCCACACCTCCTCCACCAAACCACCCTCCTCCTCTCCTCTAACCGCGAACAAACCACCCTCCTCCTCGCCCTACAAACCCTCTACACCTCCCACAACACCCCCACTGCCCTCCCAAAAACATTACTCCACAGAGTCCACACCCTCTCAAAAACAACCGATTCCATAACCTGGTACCGAGCACTTATCGACACGCAAGAGCGCGAGATTTCCGAAGCGGAGACGGGGAGACAGGTAGTCGAGAGGGAGGGGAAGGAAATGGAGAGGAAAATGATGGAAATGGAAAATAAATTGGGGAATTTGGAGAAGGAGATTGAGGGGTGAAAAATGCAATGAGAGGAGAGGGAGAGGGAATTCTTGGGGTGTAGATGGGAAAGAAGAACAAAAGCAAGGTGAGAACGTTCAAACAGAGGGGTTTGCATTTCAAGAAGGAAGAAAAATGTTCTCACTAAGAAAATGGTTAAGGATTTAGGAAATTGTATTTATTTCTTCATATCTGTATTGTTAATCATATTCATATTCATTACGCTGCATGCATTTTCCACCCCCACCAAATCATCATATTCCCCGCCTAACACATCATCAAATCATCAAGAACTTTCTTCCCCAACCCCAACCCAACACACAACCCACTAAATTCTCACTTCACAAATATCCCTCCACTTGATCCCATGTACTCCCCTCGGAATCCCCAATGCATCCGCCGTCCAAGCCGCCAAACTCATTTCCGTCACCCACGCCAATCCAGTCTTGACCCAATTATCTTTTCTTCCCCAAACCATCGCTTCTCCCACCGTCGCAAAGCCATTCAGCACAAAGAACATTCCGATGCGGAAAAGTGCTTTATCGGTTAACATCGGCGCTAAGGCATAAACATGAAAAGCTGCCATGAGGAAAAAAGCAGCCAAGATCCCCATCGATCGAGCGATTGGGATTGAAACTCCTAATCTTGGGAGATTCTGACGGATGGGATCGTAGGCGAGGGAGGCACAGGGGGCGGAAAATACATTGTGCCATGTTTTTGACCTGGGATTGTTAGTGTTGTGTTCTTCCTTCAAACTTTCCAAAGTTGAAAATCAGACGACTTGCCAGAAATCTCCTAAACTCTCTACAGCATACAATCTTCCAAAAAGGGCTGGACTACCTTTGTACCTTACTACTAACTGAATGGCTGTCCAGATAATGTAAATGCTTAATTGAATTTCAAAAGCCAAGACTAATGCCCAATCTTGTGGTAAAACTTGCAAAGCACAGAAGATGGCAACGTGGATTGCAAACTGCAGCGGTTCATTAAAAGTTTCCTGAGATCGCGGAACACGAACAAAATTTGGAGTAAAAGATTCATAGCGCATTTCCGTCAGGAGAAGAAGTGCATGTTTCCACGTTGGCGGATCATTTCTGAGTTGAGGAAGTGAACGGTGTCGAGCATATATATCCAAGAGTCTGAGGGTCGCAATTGCAACTAGACGGAATCAGTATATTGTATTGTGATGTTGTTGGGTTCTTCCCGCGATTCGGTGAAGATGGGAGATACGAACCAGCGAAATTCCTCAGCGCAGCTATTGGGCCACAAGAAATCGGATTCATCCAACTACTCATCCAAAATGTAAATAAAGATACCGCCGATAATTTCTTATATTTTCCATATTGCCCTTTGAGCAAGAAATAAATGGAAAAATAGAAAATTTCGGTGGGTATGAGAAAGAAAGCAGTAGCTCTGATGGTCTCGTGGCCCCATTTCTCGAATGCTGGAGAACTGGTGGATGGAATTGGGAAATTGAGAGAGGATGTTGCGTTCATTTTGTTCCTTATTCGAGTAGATTTTGGAACGATTTGTATATTCCCTTTACAGGGACAGGTATCTATATCGTGTAGAAGTAGGTTTGATATGTATTTGTGTTGAACGAAAGTATTGATGTCTCGTGATCTTCTTTTTCGTATATGTCAAAGTTAAGCAAGGCAAGGTAGGTATTTGATGTCTCAGCCAATGTGTAGAGAAACTTTGTTGAACATGTAGACGATTTGGTATTGTGTGATTGTGTGATAGTATTGTAATAATATAACGATATGACGATGTCTTGATAGCTGTGAAGAACTACTAATGGATCAATGAAGTTTATTTACTCCCAAGTCAGCTCAATCGATTCCCAAAGAAGTCGGAATGTTCGGATGAGGCTTTCAAGGCTATCGAAGCGGAGATATCACCGTACAACACAACGCAACGGGAGGAAGAAAGCCGAATTGAAGGGCCGGTCTGTGATATGTATGTATGTATGTATGTATGTATATATGTATATAGGAGTACAAGCAGAAGGATATTTAACTCATTCTCCAATGATTAGATAATGTTGATATCTTGACAATCTCTTTCTTTCTTTTTTTCTTCTCCCTCTCTCCACTCTCCACTCTCCACTCTCCACTCTCTTCTCTCCTCTCTCCTCTCTCCTCTTTTCCACTTACTGGCTCGAACTGGGTATGCATAGCAACAGCAATTCTCATCATCTTCGCGAACCCGAGTAGCATGCACTTGGTAAGCAAACCATTCCTATTAAGCTACCGGCATTAGCCCGATGAAGATTTCGACGATAGTACGATATCCCATGTGTATGGATAGAAATGATTGGTGCAGAGGAGATGCCGTCAGAGGTGGAAAAGAAAAGAGGTTGGGATCGAAGCGACCTACGTACACAGACGAGACAGGCAATGGTTGTGGTACAGTATGCCCAGTGTGCCTTCCGTTTAAAGCGTCTTATATCCGATCCGATAAAGTCATCGCGATCTATATTGCACAGATCCATTGATTACTCATCCTTGGGAGGACAGTCGAACACAAGGTATATATACAAGGTATATACTATCATATCGACCTAGATATCCAACTATTAACTACACACCTCACTTCAATACTACTTACCTACTTATTATTCCTTGATCATCATAATTTCAAAGTTGAGTTCTTCTCTATTCCTATCATCTCAAGTGTGAGTACTACGTATAATTCGACACAAAACACCCAATCCTTTTTATCATCCACTGTCCCCCTCCTTCCTCCCTTTTGCAATTCCAATCCCCTCATATCAAATCAATGAAACCAAAGCTGCGCAATGATACGTTGATGACATCCGCCTTTAAAAACTCCATCTCATGCATAAAATGCCATTGCTACCTAAGATAATTAAATAAATAAAAAACTTTCTTTCCATTTCGCTGCAACGCCGCCCTCTTCCTCATATACACATTGAATCCTGTTCTAGTAAAACACGCGCTTATGAATATTTGGTAAATCAATAAATTACAAAGTAGTTTGTTTCGTTTCGTTGGAATCGTTTCCCAAGTGAATAGACTCCTCATCTTCGTCTATGACGATCTCGATGATCCTTACCCTTCTTGCCCTTCTTCTTGTCCTTTGGCAACTCAATGGGTGCATTTGCTAGTTGAACAGACATGAATTTCAGCATGTATTCATCCGCTGCTTTCACTGGTTGGCCCCAAGCATTGAGTTCATCTTCATCAATCTCCATTAGGTCCTCAGCGGTAGGTGTTCCATCGGCACCAGGGGTTGGGCCACCTTCCACAGGAGTTCCCGTGCCACCTGGAGTAGCAGATGCTGTAGCTGCGTTCTCATCGAAATCGGCTGCGTCGGTCTGAACAATTTCTCGTTCAGCGACTCTAGCTGCAGCGACATCCTCGCGATCTTCGGCTTGAGCGAAAACACGTCGAACATCCTTGTCGTTGTCAGGACCACCCAAAACTCGATCCATGGCTGCATTAGCTGCTGCGTCACCATCCATAAGACTAGATTCTTCCTCTCCAATGACATCTCGTACGTTCATCTTGTTGAAGTAATCCGTCGTAAACTCTCCTTCTTGGATAACGACATCGTCAAGCATACGCTTTTGGTTTGCTTTGCGTAAGATGTTGGCTTCGATAGTGTGTTCTGAGACCAGACGATAAATGTGAACATCTCGTGTTTGTCCGATACGATGGCAACGATCTTGACATTGCTTGTCCATGGCTGGATTCCAATCCAAATCATAGAAGATAACGGTATCCGCACCCGTTAAATTAATACCTAGACCGCCCGAGCGACTGGATAAAATAAAAGCAAGAATTCGAGTATCATTGTTGAAGCGATCCGTAAGAATTTGTCGTTGCTCAATCTTGGTAGCTCCATCAAGTCGTAGGTATTTGTGTCCGTGGATATTGAGAAATTGCTCAAGAATATCAAGTACCTTTGTCATTTGAGTGAAGATTAGTGCTCTGTGCCCGCCAGCTTGCAATTTACGCAATAATTTGTCGAGAGCTTGCAATTTACCGCAGTCATATTGCAAAAGACGCTTATCCGGGAATTGAATGGATAGTCGCATGCGTGCCTCATGAAATGGATCTGTTTCTCGACTGGCGACGGTGCTTTGAAAGTTACTTACACCTTTAGGCGTGAACATAACTGAGTTCATATCTCGCGCCACTACAGGTGGAGTTACACAAGCAAATTTTTGAATGGTTGTATGTAGGGCTTGAGATCGTGATGTGAATGTCGGAACCATCGAACGCATAATCGGTGAAGACTCCTCCAACCATTCTATCAACTTTGTTCGTCGCTTAGGCTTCGCTTGTAGTGGACGCTGATCAAGACGAAGATCTAGACGCTCAATGAGAGAACTACCATAGATAGGTTTCTGTTGTCGTCGAAGTGCATTAAGGTATACGCAATGCTGAAGCTCTTCGAATCGTCCCCACCTGGAAGCACTTTCCAAATACACCAGATTCGATTTGACTGTTGAAGGGTCGAGGTTGGTAAATGCGTTCTGGGCTCTTGCACGCTGAGCCTCCCTCATTACTTCTAGAGCACGCCGGGCACTGAGTCTATTTATTTCAGTGGCCAAGATGCCAGACAAGTATTCATGCTTCGCGGGCACGAGATTCAAGAAATCCAAGCTAACTCTAGACATAGGTTCTTGGTGAAACATTTTTCTACGAACCAGAAGATCCTTAATCTCAAAGTCGGTGATGGCAGACTTTTCCATTGGAAAAGACGTCATAATGGGTCGATCTAGAAAGAGATCCGGATGATTACAAACTTTTCGCAGTTGCATCAAACAATTGATAATGGAAAGATAATTACCCGATGCGAGGGTATCTCTGGTATCATTTCGACTTAGAAAGCTATCGTAAAGCTCACGTTGTCTTTTGGACAAACGGCAGAACTCAACGTGCTCGTACTTTCCGGGCATTTGTTTCTCGACATCTGCTTTCAATCGCCTGAGAAGATAAGGCCTGAGAACCTTGTGAAGTTTGCTAATGATTGCCTTCGATTCATCATCCATTTGCTCCCTGCCATGCTCCAAGATTTGTTCCGTCGGCTTTTTAAACCAGTCCTGGAATTCTTTCAAATTTGCAAAACCACCAACACCTTGCTCGCTTCCATCCGAGGGCATCAAGAAGTAGAGTAAGGACCATAATTCCGTCAAGTTATTTTGCAAAGGAGTACCGGTCAGTAATAACCGCGCTCGAGTGTTGAAATTCAACATAGTTTGCCACCTTTGAGATTGGAAATTCTTGATGTTGTGAGCTTCATCAAGAATCATGTAATGCCATTGTCGTCGCTTGAACACTTGCTGATCCTGAATGACAAGTTGGTATGAGGTAATGCATACATTCCAAGCATCATCATCCTTCCAGCCAGCACGTTTGCGTTTTCTCTCTTCCTGATTCCCATAGTAAGTTAAGATTTTGAAACCTGGACACCACTTCTTGAATTCCATTTCCCAGTTGAGCATAACACTAGTGGGCACGATGACAAGATGCGGGCCCCAGACTTGGTGTTCGCAGGCCAAATGAGCTAATAAGGCTATGGTCTGGATTGTTTTCCCCAATCCCATCTCATCCGCTAGAATACCGTTTGTGTTGTTCGCATAAAGACCGGCAAGCCAATCCAAACCATAATGTTGGTATTCTCTGAGGGTGCCACGCAGGAGAAAAGGAACGGGAGTCTTCAGTCCGTTCGAAGGTTGAGGGGTTGCGCTCTGTGTGTTGCGGTGACTGCTATGGTGAAGATCCACAGATGATGCCGAATCCACTTCTGAAGGCTTCGTTTCGGTTGTTCTTGGAGTGGGCTGGCTGCTTCGATCGGGACTCATCGCTGAGACCTCTTGTGGCTGATGTGCAGATAAAAATTCATTTACCTTGCTAGATGAATCATGATGCTCACTTGTGGACAGTTCTTCGATCATAGGTGACTTTTTGGATGTTCCATTCATTAAAGGCGGTATAGATTCTCCATTGGGTATGGAGGGAACTTTACTATCCTCGGTATCTAAGTCCATTGCGTCGTCTGGTACGACGGGAGTTGAACCTTTGCCCATACCTTCCACCACTTCTGCAACTGGCCCCAACTCAGCTTGCCTCGTTTCAAGATCTTTGATATCGGAAGGCAAAAGAAATCCAAGAAGATCACCACGGCTCCCTTCATCCACATCATTGTCCTCTTCCTCATCACTGTCCTCCTCTTCATCGCTGGAATCTGTGTCGTCATCCATGTCTATAGAAGGATCGCTTTCCATGTCTTCATCCTCGCTGCCGTTTCCAGTCATTTCTTTGTCATCGCTGGCTGGCACAATATCCGGTAGGGCGGCGTATTTTTCGCGCAATTCATCGACAGTAAGTTGCTCATCCTCGTGTTTGGTATTCTCTTCGTCAGCCTCCGATTCCGAAGAGGACATATTATCTTCATCGTCACTAGGGTCAGAGTCTAAATCATCGTTATTATCGGAATCATCATTTGCATCCTCATCTCCGTCATCATCCTCTTCAGTGTCTTCTTCCGAATCCTGTTGCGCTCTCCGAGCCTGAAGCTTTTGTGTAGAAATGTCCACGGCTTCGTTGAGGGCTTTTCGTACCCGAGCTTGTTCCTGTGCCTCCCATTCAACTAGGCGCCGCCGATTGACCTCTGTTTTAACATTTTCCCAGGTACCCAAGAGACTCTTAAGAACGTTTTTATAACGCACTTCAGACGCCCTTCTTTCCTCTGCCTCCAGTTGTTCATGCGACTTTGGTTGTCGCCGGGTCCATTCATCTCTGCATGCCTCGGCCAGTTGTTTCGCGAGCCTCAAATGCTCTTTTTGTTCCCTGATCATGAGCATCCTGAAGTGGAGGGCAGCTCTCACAAGATGATCTTGGTGGGCATACTGCGGTGGCATGGGGTCTTGTTTCTCAGGACGATTTAATGAAGTCCCCAAAATACCGCGCTCCACCGCATCTTCAAGCTGTAGAATTGTATGGGCTTCTTTCTTAGCATCTTCCTCGGTGAAAATTACCGCATCTTCGGCGCTGTACAAGCCACCTGCTTCTACTGGTATATTTTGACCCTGCCCCCAGAACTCATCGAAAGACCCAAATTTTGACGGTACCGGAAGCGACCTTGGATGCACCACAGGGACGGCCGCTGGCTTGACTCGAAGTCTAATTTTCGTTGGTGTAGATTTTGGGGTTTGGTCTGCCATACTTTCTGCTTCTATTGCTGGTGATGAATTCGTAAGGTCATTCTGAATTACTTCAGAAGCTCGACCCGATCGGCGCAACCTCGAATTTGAAGGCGTTGACTGTGATTCTTTAGTGACCGTAGATTTTTTATTGCTAGATCGTATTTGTGTTGAATTCTGCTCCGAAGGTATGGATTTTCGATGCGAGCGCTTTGGCGACGTTGATAGTTTGACTGGGGATTTTAATACATTTTGGCTGGTAGACTTCCTAGAAGCTTGTGAGGTCCCGGGTGTGGATGTATCTCGATTTGAAGATGAGTGAATGCCATTCGCATTTCCATGTTTACTTTTCGAGGTGACAGCCTTTTGCGCCGCACCCCGTGTTGTCCTCTTCTCGGATGGAGGTTGTAGCTCCAATGGTATTTGATTCACACGGCCTGATTTGCGTTTTCCATCGACAGTAAAAGAAGTTGGACCTTCTGCTAAGACTTTTTTCCAGGGAGGCGATTCGGGTTTGCGCTTCAGTATAGTCTTTGTCTCGCTGCTGAGTCGCCGCCTCTTGCTCGGAGGTGCTTCTCCATCTCCATTTTTAATCGCATGTCCATTCGCTTTCGGGGTTTGTAGCACATCTTCAATTGGAGGTATATCTGATATTAAAAATGTTAATTTTGTGTTGTTGAGAAGATTTTTAATTATTGCCCTTACCAAAGATTTTTTCACTCTCGGGAGCTTCTGACGCGGTTGTCATACTTTTTACGAGAGGGGAGGCTAGACACTACCTTGAACTTCATGAACTTTTCATTTGAAATCGTAAAACTACTTCGTAAGGTTCCGTACATCATAAGGATCCTTCATATAAAATTTGAGCATGCCCAGATGCTTTTATCGTTCGCTGTACAAGAATTACGTGCTGAAGAAGGAAGTACGAAGAAAATACACCTTCTTCGCGTCGAGATTCCGTCCAACTGCCACTAGTTTAGTGTTTAACCGAACGAGTAACATCCCGTCGACCTCTGATTACAAGTGACAGAAGACGACCTCTAAAAACAATTGCGATCAACTACGGAGGCTCATTCAAGGTACGCCATATACATCTCAACCTAATTATATTAACCTCGACTTATTGATCAATAACTCGCAGATGTTTTCCCGACGAATTGCGGCAGCGCGACCACTGCGAACTTCCATCATCCCACGTCAAACAACCCTCATATCACAAAGATGTGCCAGCCAGGCAGCTGCCCCCAGCGGCCCAGTTCTACCATTGGTCAGTCTGCTTGATCGCAGTTATTTGTTTCGGGGGAAGCATAGACTGACAAAGTAGGCTGAAGACCGATATTGAAGATCCCGGCATGGTTAGTGTAGTTCGAATTCGATCTCTGAAATGGATACTAATACAGCATGAAGAATGGAGGATACATCAACCCACCCAGAGTCAAGCGTCAATTCCGTGACCCTTATGCCGACTGGTGGGATAAGCAAGAGCGAAGAAACTACGGAGAGCCAGTTCATGAGGATAACGACATCTTGGGCATGTTTTCACCAGAAGAATACACACACCAAAAGGTTGGAACTGCTGGATTTCAATTTGGCCTGTTTATTTTATCTGTATTGGGGCTTTGCACAGTCGTGGGCATGATGTACCCAGATAAGCAATCAGCTCCAAGAGAATTTGAGGGTGGACTTGAGAGAGAATTGGGTGGCCCAACTGCAGTCAGGGTAAGTTACGATGTTTGCGAGTCCCACAAGTTGCTTTTTACTGACGCAAAGAACAGGCCAGAGCTGCTGGAGATCCATTGTGAAGGAGGGCGGTTATGTACATATGAATATCAATTTGAGCAAGTTCCGAGGGACATTCATTGTGAACCACTATATGTTTTCAAACCTCCATCAACTCCCAGCCTTTTCCCATAGAAGTTACGATCATGGCAAATAATGCCTTTCCTAAAGAACTTTGAGATAGCGTAGTAAATTTTCCTCCCAGGTAGGGGCGTGGGATGTTATATCCAGCTTGATGAAATCCGGTGGCCATATTAAACAGGCGGATAAGAATCACCAGTATTCAGGTCGTTCCTTCCTCCTCAACCCATTAAATGCGCTGTTCTTACCAAATCATCGTTTCTCCAGCCAAATCTCTTACCTGGATAAGGCTTGCATGATTTTTGCTCTATCCCCAGATCTAAGAATTTATTACTGCCGCCTTTCTTTCTTTCTTTCTTTCTTTCTTTCTCTTTCTTTCAAGATTTGCTTCAATACTTGCTTGTGGTTATACCATAACCTATCAGCTTATATTTGATTCTTAGTGATTAAAAGCCATTCAAAATGCGTTATCAGAATTGGGATGTTCTCATGTTTCCACATGAATTGTGCAAGATCCCTTTGCAAGAGTTCAAAACTTCCTGTCAAGTTGTTCAGGACCACGGTAAGTACATGCTCTCAAACTGGAAGCCAATGTCTTCCAGACTGATGCAATCGCAGAAGTTCATTACTCGCAGAGCACTGCTCTACTACTCCCTACGGTTACTTGCTTCATTCCAAGCTTAGCTGCTGGAGAGTCCTTCCGAATTTCTATCCATTCTTGGCAAAATCCCGAAGCCAGCCGTTATGTACAACATATCAGCGGTAGACATGCAGAACATGTTATGTTTGAAGCTCGTGTATTTGTGGATGGACAGATTGCTGGGTACGCCTCAATCATTTGTCGCAGGCAGGTAGATTTATTGACTAGCCTTAAGTACCAAACTCTTTCATCGAAACGGCCCCTGGCCAACAGTTCTCGAAACTAGTGTTGGTAATAAAATCATTCCTCTTTCTCACTTGCATCGAGTATAAGCATAACTATATACTAGAATGACCGAGAGCCTGCATCATCTAACAGCCTATAGAGCTCGATAAACAGGGAGATTATAAAAAACTCGAGTTTCCTGCCTTCCATCGAGAACTTCTATCGCAAAGTTATTGGAACCCGGGAGATGACCTTGGACGTGTGAAGGTAGTGGTGTCGGAAGGCATTCCAAGAGATAATATTTCTATGCCTTTCGAGCGTATCAAGAACTTGGTAGCTTTCTCATTTCAGCATGCTCCATTAGGTATCTCTATTAATTGACATTTCCATCATGACAGATCATCAACCTAACCAATCTTAGACGTCTTGGAAGCCTCTTCGATCGCGTGGCCAAATGCGGCCATGTGGCGCCAGGTATCTCTTGTTGCACATCTCTATAATCAGCATCCATCGCCGAAACGAGTTGAAGAGGATCAAGAAGCTCATGCCCATTCTCCACGAAAGTCACAAAACATTGGTTTCTTGTCTTCGCAGTCAAACACTATGCCACCACCACCGGCGCCATTCTCAAAACCTCCAAATTTCGACCCTTTCACTTCTGAATCAGCACGCCCTGCCTTTGCAGGCTGGCGTCGTCAGGGGGTCTCAACCGATACTTCTATGCCAGATCTTTCGAGCGATTCTAGTGGGCAGGCAGGTAGTATTCGAAACGTATCAGATCCTATGATAATCGAGAAGGCATCTCGAAACAATGACATGCAGAGTACTGGCGCATATGAGTCTCTCTGTGAAGCATTATTGCCAGCTGTACCTGTTAACACACCACAGAATGGATCTGAAATGACGTCGGCAAACACAATTTCACTACGACAGTCGTCTTTGCAAAGAGGATCTAGCAGAGTCGGCCCCGTCGATCGGGTACCAATACCACGCGCGATCGGTGCACTGGATGCACCTGAAGGACTAGTATCTCAAGTTGAAGAGGCTCGACTCCGTGATTCCAGAAGATTGAGCTCATCTTCGCTGAGTTGCGCCAACAAGGAGAATGAAAATCAAAGTTCAGCAGCCCCGTTGGAAATCACTGGCTCTAACAATCAGCGAACTGCAAGTGATGGTTCGACTAGAAGAGCTTCAAATATTTTTACATCCACCAATGCAATTGGCACTAAAAGACAAAGGAATGTTACTCCTGCGTCCTCAAAGGCCATTGATGATGAGGATGAGCCAAGATCCTCTCCCTCGTTGAGAAAGGTATCGAGGCAATCGAATACCAGTGGGAATGGGAGGGGAAAGGATGCGGAAAGAAGAGTTTTAAGTACCGTTGATAATGCTTAAGGAGAGAAACAAACCATGGAGAGGAAGTGGGGCATGATGCGTCGCCCAAAGTTCGAGTTTATATCATGTTTAATGGAGGACCCCAAAAAACTTGGGCAGTGGTGGACTAAGTATTGCTTGGCATTCATTTGTTTTTGTTTGATCAATCATGGTGTGAGGTTCCGATGCGTTGGTTTCTTGTCATGCAATTGTTGCTATCATTATTAATATCGTTGTTGTTGTTGTTGTTGTTGTTTTTGTTTTTGTCTGTTTGTTATGAATTTCTTTTCGGTGGAGAAGTCGAGGTTGTTTCGTTCGGTTGATTCAAGTAGTTGAGGGAAAGCAGGAACAGCAGTATACCCGGCAATAATCAATAACTATTCAATAGTATTGGAAATCTTTTAGAGTGACATGTAGCAATTGTGTTTTGTTGGACTATGAGGATAAACGTGAGGGGGTATATGTGACTTGTGTATCATGAAGAAAAATGGCAGCAAATGAGAATGTGTATATGGAGGTGAGAACTTCATTGGGAGAGGTCAGGCTACGTGTACTCGCTAAATGAAGGATAGAAGAAATCTAGCGTGAGAAAATTGCGTGGGAATTGGACGTGGAAGAGGCAAGTGAGGAGGAGATTGCAGAAAGAGAGGAATGACTAGGTAGTTTAAGCAGCGGAAGTGAATGTGAGGAACAGATTGGAGATGGGAGACTAGGAATGAGGTGGAGAAATTGGGTATCGTGAAGGAGATTTGTTAGTTGAGGATTTACTTTGGAAGGCAGTGGATTGTGAGTGTGATGAAAATGAAAAGAAGGAAACAAAGGTGTTTGGAAAGATTCGATAGCAAGTTGAGATAGGAAGGATAGGATAGGACATGGTAAATCAAGAAAGACTAAGTTGTGTCTCCTTTGATTATCTGGGTCACAACTTCAAGCACTTGGTGTATATTATATATAACATATGTGCGTATATGATATCAAGTGAGTAGGTATTCATAATAATATCTTACCCTTCTTATCGCAACCTACTAACTTTAAGTATCTAATCTATCATTTTTGTCGAAAATGAGGAGATCGGGATGAGGTGTTGTGCTTATATGTGTGTACGTGTATATAATATTTGAAGACTTTCATTTCACTTGGTCGTAGGCTGGCACATCTCTTTGGTTAAAAGACATCAAATTTAGTCAGACGGGCGTGCGTGCGGACACATCGTTCGGTGAAGGGTGAAAGGTGATGGGCTCATATTTTGAAGGGCTATCTTCATCTAGCACGTATCAAGATCATAGCTATCTAAATATCATATAGCTACCTCAATATCGTATGTCCTTCTCTACTCGTTTCAGAAACAATGCAACCCGGGCTGATACTCATCTCATCCATCTTGAACTCCGACCCAACATCACAACTTACATTCTACAGCCCACAAGTGCATTAAACCATAAATTTATATTGTTGTGTTGTATTGTACTGCATCTATAATACACACTTTCTCTTCCCTCTCTGCTCCCCCTTCAGCAACCACTTTCCAAGACCCTGTCCCAAACCCCATCCATTCCATTTACTCCTCAAAACATGATTGCACCCCCTATCCCCACTGATCATTCATGAATAACAATATATATGTTCTTCGAATCAGTTCTGTTTCTTTTACCTCCCTCGCCACTTCTCCGGGTTTCAATCGTTCCATCCTATGCATTCCAGTCTAATGTTTACTCCGAGGGTATGGTGTGGTATCGTGATGTATAGCGACTTTGTCCACAGAACCAGAGATAAGCATTGCTGATTTTGCTCTCCCGTAAAAAGTATGTGTGATTTGTATGTGTTCGTCGAGTTGAGGATACCAAATGAGGAACAAAAGAATTTGAATTCAAAAAAGAAATTAAACGCCTGTCGCTGATGATGATAAATGATGAAAGTGATGCCAAAGCCAGTTCCAAATGCAATGTCATCATAGAAGCCAAAAAGAAAAATCACGAATGCCAAGCCATGCCAATAATGCCATGATGGAGCCTATCCCCAAAAACGAAAGCAAGTGCCCAAACCGAGTAATCAAAAAAAAGGAGGTCCTGAGATAAAGCTCCCAGCATGTTCGATGAATTAGATTGAACCAGAAACCCCAAGCCGAAAAGTACGCCGTTGTAATGCCTCCTCATCTTCGTCCCCTGAGTCGCTTGGTCGTCGTTGCAGCAGATATTTGATGCCGGTGTTGATGTACAGCCAGCTGTGTTATTTAAGATGAGACGTATAAGTTTGTGTGGAGACCAGGAAATGAGTGGATAATGTCGTAAAGTAGTGTGGTGGAAGTGATCTTTCTTGTGATCTCTTTGCAAGCTCTTTGCAATGATCATTATGGAGAAAAATCATGAGTCGTTAATGAGAGCGGGATGTGTGTGATCGTGTGTGTTTGAGGGGTATCAATATTTGGTTCGCCTTTTCCTGGTCCCGCGCATCATGTCATACCTCTCGGTCCTCTTTGGCATGTTTATTCTTTTTACGACTTGACCAGCCTTGATGCCGCGATGCCTTCCGTTTTCGACATACCTCCTCTATTTCCTTGGTCTCCACGGCTAGTGGCTATTTCTTTCTTCCCCCAGCACCAGTAGATGTAATCTTAGACGTGGACATTAAGTCTCCGATGTACTTCTGTAGGAATTTGTTGTTGTTATCAAGTTTATCGTGCTCCTCCTTGACGGCTTCGATTCGATTAAATATTTCGAGGAGAGATTGTTGAAGAAGTTTAGCATGTCTGTGTGGGAAGTACCGAGTTAGTATTGTTTGATATTCCGTGTAGACTGTGATGT